GCGGAAGGAAGGGACCCGCTAGAAAGGTATCAGGGCAGATAGTAGGAGTTGCACCATACAAATACCTATAAGTATTTCGGATGCGCAATACTGCGTAAAAAAATCTTTTAAAGGTAAACACTCTCCATTATTCAAATTGTGCAATGCACCAAAACTTTATTCGACCTACTTGTTTTATTGAACTCTTTAATGGAGGGCAATGCTAAACAATGAAACAATGCTATCTCTGTTTTTCATCAAAAAACATTGAGGTAGGTACTTATCACGTAGATAAATTTACGTTAAACCAAAACAAATAATGTATGTCTAGCGTATGGGAAAGTCTTTGATTCGGTCGAGATATGGACGGTACTACAGTCCATCCAACGGTGCCTGGTTGACGACAGTAAGTTTACGATGTCTATCCGAGTACAGAACCAGAGTACGAAACCCATCCTAGTCCAAAAAGGTGTAAGACAGGGTGACGTCATCTCCTAGAAACTCTTCACAGCTGCATTGGAAGATATTTTCAAACACCTGGACTGGAAAACATATGGTATAAACATCAATGCCAAATACATCACTAACGGGGGGAAAGGGATTGTTAGTAATGGAGACTGAGAATCCCATTGCTAGCAATATACCCAACTAGGTCTACCTCCTCGCGGTTCCCCCTGGAAACTATCATGGTTAATTCCTGACGAATTAATCATGATGGGCTAGCTGGCCTGTTTTCATTCTCATCTATCACCCTTCACTGGTACTCCGGCAGCATATCCCATTAGCGCAGGCGGGGTTATCATACCATTTTCACCCATTAAAAAAAAATACATCACTAACCTTCGATTTACCTATAATATAATAATCATGGCGGATTCCTTGAAAAACTTGAATACTGAGCAAATACGATGAAATATGGTGCACATAGAATGATGCACCTGCCTATGCTAACGGTATACAAATGGCGGAGTACCAATAAAATATGAAACAATAAGAATAAATTCGGACCAGTTGAAGCAGCGTGGCGAATTAGGAATTAACCATGATGGTTTTAAAGGGGGATCACGTCGAAAGAATATATCGTTAGCAGTGGGAAATAACCTCGTCATTATTAACAATCCCCCTCCTCTCTTCGGCCAATGTTTGACAACTTCAAACCAGACATCAAACGTTGGCCGACTGAGCTTTTTTGATGGGTGATAATGGAACGGTGACCTCGCCTGCGCTATCGGTATACGCGATACGATGATAAATGCAAGTCAGTCAGCCCATCGTGACGAATTCGACAAATAAATGCGCTTGACTTTAGCATTTGAATGAATACCTATACAAAGTGGCGAAATAATCTTGATAGATACGATATCGCTATCACACGCATGAAACAAAACAAAATGAGACAGCGACCTTTCTTTCTCATGTGAACGCTAACGGAAACGTTTCATATAGTTCATTACTTATCGAGAAAACTAGTGTTTTAGTTCATATCTCGAATTAAACCACGACCATCACAGAACACACCGTGGCGCCCATGGTATCCCACATCCGGTTAACTCTCCAGTTGTATTAAAGATAACCACAGAAAGATGCTACAAATCATAAACAATAACCAATTAAAACCGCCCACACAAACGTAGCGTGCATTGTCGGCCACGCAAACTTATTGTAAGCGAGTATAATTGGCCAATTTAGATAGTGACCGATATCTGAACAAAGATACGAATAATGCTCTTTACACTCTGGTTGCTTAAGAAAGCAGATTCCGCGGTTTCAGCTCTATGGTCGACGGGCGGAAAATCAATTTAGAAACACCATAATGCACGGTCGCTGAGCAGTGTCTTAAGTGTTTATTGTGCATTACACGGGCTACCGTGTTAAGCAATTTGTCAATTCTTTAAGCGCCTTCCAAAAAGTAGTCTCTCAATTCTTAGTGATTCAATTTGTTAACTTAATATTTTAATTTAATACTTTCGTAAAATTACTAATTCACTTTATTGGGTCATCATAAAATAAATTTGTTAGAAAAAGGCCTATGCTCGAAGTCTTTGTGCGTGATAGAAACCAAAACGAGGATATCCGCAAAAGAACCAAAGTAACCGAAATAGCCCGAAGGATAAGCAAGCTGAAGTGGCAATGGGCTGGTCATATAGCTCGAAGAACCGACAACCGATTGGGAAGAAAGGTTGACTGGCGACTGCGTGCGGGCAAACGTAGTATAGGGGTCCCAGTAGATGAAGTGTCGACCTCAAATGCATTACGAGGAGGCAGTGGATGCAGGTGGCTCAAGACCGTTCCTTATAGCAACCTATGGAGGAGACTTATGTTCAGCAGTGGATAGATAATGACTGAAACGTTGATAATCTCAGAATTTACATAGAATCAATAACTTGAGCATTTAGTTATTAAATAAATCCTTGTCACAATAAAGATTCATATGACGAAAATAAATTTGTAATAATTCTGACTTAATCTATTAGAAGTTTATTTCATATTGGTCCTTAGAATAATAATTGCGCTGTGATATCAAATAGAACATTTAATTTTAGAGGAAGGACGCTACAGAATCGACCCACATGTTACGCAATTACACCGCCAACTGTAAACGAATTTTCGCGATTCCTTTTGCTACTCCCTTGTTAACGATATAGATTTGACTTCAAAGATTTTGTTTGGTGCGATGCAAAATCTATAATATGTAAACGCGCAATATTTACAATGTAAAGTATCCACAATACATCTCGAAGTTTATCAAAGCATCTGCGATTGAAGTCGCATCTTTTCGTGAATTATTGCTTGTCGCTTAAACAACACTTATACCTAAGTATAATATTAAACAAACAAATCAACCATACATTATACGGTATTATAATGTAATAAATACAGGTTTAACTTACGTGTAATTAGATCGAAAAAAATAAATAGTAGATCGAGATTAAGGATCACGCATTGATCCCGAAACTAGTCGAGCATTTTCGATCTAATTACACGTAAGTTACACCAGAGGGATACTTTGTACAAAAGTCGATTGCTTGGGTACCTCTCTCCCATTTGTGTTTCAACCGTGAAGCAGTTGTGTTTGCATGGCTGTGTTTCGGTTTGAAGGGTGGGATATGGCGTGAATTTACAGGGTACAGAGGAATAACACCTGAGTCCTCAGGAATGGCAACGTATGGGGGGTATCATTGGCGAAACAGAATACTCTGTTATGTCCATGGTACTGCTCATGTCTATAGGCGACGGTTACCACTTTCCATCAGGTGGGCCGTCAGCTTGTTTGCCATTCTAAGTTGTATAAAAAAAAATCTAAACTTATTAAAATATTCCATTGTGTTCTCATACTCGGCAATGGAATATTCTATGGTGATGAAGGTGAATTATAGTGATGATCTAACTGCAGGTACTAATGTCAATCAATTAATATGTAGACACTGTGTACAGTATACAATCATGATGTGATGTTGACATCTCAGTTATGGAAATTAGTGACCACAATAAATACATGTTGAATTTCAAATGTCCCAGCCTGAATGCATTGTGAATCTTAAATGGAAGCTAGACACATTCCATGTGTATCAATAACAATAATGCATATTTAATTAATAACATCATTTTATACAAACAATTTTATATAGCTCCATGGTAGGCATTGAGACTGGCATTGGGGAAGAAGCCCCAAAATCTGTCTTAGGCACATTTTAACAAACAAAAAAACTGCCAGTATAATCTGAGCTATACACAGATGTTTCTGTACCAGCAAATACTGGTGTTTGCGAAGATTAGAAACTCTGAAACCCAAAACATTAGCATGCTTTCAACTGAATATTCTACCAGTAGAAATGAACATTTTTAAAAAATCATGGGGTGAAAAATTACAACAAATTTTAAGCCTCACATACTAACACGGCACTTTTAGTTGTTTATATTATTGGAGGTTATGGGAGTGTTAAAAGTTTGTTATTTACACATTTTTTATTTACATAACTAATATGTTTTATAGCATGGGCTGATTTTTTACTTTATGCAATGCTTACAGAATTAATTTCGCCCTTCATACTCTGATGGTATGATAGCCACAGGTTAAAGACCCTGATCTAATCCATATGCTTATTTTTTCAGTCACATAGCCTGCTGGGATCAAAATACACACACACTTTAACCCCTCTTTTGCATTGAAGGTTAAAAAGGAGTAAAAGCAGAGTGCCAACTGATTGACAGCTGAAAAATCACTAAACCAAATATCATGTCATGAATCAATATGGTCATAGTGCAATGTTTACATATGTTTCAATTTTATTTAGTCTATTGTATAATTGAGAATCTGGAACTAAAGAATATGAACAAGTTATAAAGTAAAGACTGTGAAGGTAAATGAAGCAAAAGTTGTGTTTGGCTCTGGGATTGTCTCTGCTTATAACATTATAATTTTAACCCCTAACATTATAATTTTTTTTCTTTAGTAAAAAATAAAATTAAAATTCTCTCAATGCTCAATAATTCTGTGTTTCCATTTTTCATGTCCACCTTTGCTCCAAAAATACAAGTAGATAATTTTATAGAGTTACAGATTTTCATAAATATAATCTACATCTTTAATAATAATAAAAACTAGGTAATATTTCATAATCTGGTCAGTGGCTGCCATATAGGCATTCCAATAGGTATGGTAACATTAACATGATAGTTGTTCTATAGACATATATAATCTAAAATAAATATTCTAAATTAAAGTTAAATATCATGAATTACTACCTATAATGTCAACACAACACACCATTGACTGATGGCAAAGTCTAATAATAAAAAAAAAATTGCATTATAATAGGATGCTAGTATTAATATTTTTCTAAATACATATTCTACATAAGTATATAATTTCACTGGTTATTGATTACAAAATAATCCAGTGAATGGGCTAACCGCACACCGTTTAATGTGAACGATTGCGGGACAATTTCGAGCAATATGTAGGGCGACGTACCGGTTGAAAGTCGCTGACAGAGGGCGATAAAAAAATAATCACCTACCTTCATATCCGACACGATCTGCTGGTACAAGCTCCACAAAGGAGAGCAATCCTTCTCCGTAGTCCCCTCCATTGTCAAATAAACACAACAACACAAGGTAACACGATCAAACACACGAAACAAACATTATTACCGCGCCATAACGAAACATCGACAACTGTTGCATTTTCATTACCACTAAAACAATTTTTCACGGTTCACAGTTACCCACATTTCACTACACAATTAAAAGCACATCAGAAACGTTAGAAAACACGGTGTGCAACAAATCAATATTTATAAACACGGGGAGACTCCATGTAATCCTCACATTCGAGGAAAAAGCACTGTAACCGAGTAAAAAATAAATCTTTGATATGCAAAAATCTTGAAACGAACGTAATAGCATAACATTCATTCAAGAAAACCAATTTCTCACATGTTTTAATACACAAACATACGATTACTTAATTCCAATCAAAAACTTATCAAGGGACGACAGACGAGAAGATCGGTCGGAATCGTTTTGTTTGTGCGTTGCGTCTCACTTATTTGTGATTCGTCAATTTTATGTCAGTGTTGCCAATGATAAAAACATATTCAAATAATATAGTGTTGTGCTGTCAAGTAACAAAAAGAAGTTATTCAGTATGGTTATATCTTTATATTTGTAATATTCTCGTGTTATTGTAAATAATTATCTACTTAGTAGCAGTTGTAGTTGGTGTGTAAGCAAAACAAAACAGACTACAATCAAAATAGTTAAAGAACTCGTTACGAAATTATAATTTCTGGAAACCGCTGCATATGCAATGGCCTCAACAGATGTTGCAAAGTCAGCGGCAACGTGCGACTCGGAACATTGAAAGGGCCAGCAGAGGTGTCACTCCTGGTTCACACTTCGAACTGTGCAGTTATTTTAGTTATAGTTAGATATAGAAATGTCACACTCGGCATACACATCGACCGATTGACACGTAACATAATTAATTATAGTTTAATTGTAGTTTTTCTTAAGTAAATTTAGTCTAGTATATTTTTTAGTTTTCTTTGCGTCCCTTTTTATCTAACTTATAATTGCAGTAAAAAAAAACATGAAAAAAATTGGCTGTAATAAAAAAAATATATTCAATTTTATTAATCACTTGACAAAGCAGTCTGATTTGAAAATGTTATTAAATTAAATTAACAAATCGCTACCGTTATCAAAAAAAAAAATACATAAAACAATTAAAATAAACACATTCTAAAAAATGATAAAATATTTTTTTTTCTTTATTTTGGTCAACAAACAGTAGACACAATAACAATATATGTACTTATATTATTATAAAACGAAAGGCCAGCTATTACTATAAAACGAAATATGCAAAATGATTGTGTGCTACTACTTGTACAAAATCAAATTTAATATTAGACAGATTATAATATGAAATACAATATAAACAAACAATTTACACAATAATTTGTTTAAACATTGTATGGACACAATAATGATAAAATGAAAGTAGCTGAAAAAACTGCGCAAACTTCTACTGTCAGAAGCAAATACCACTTACTTCATCATAGTAGTAATGCAATCCACATCAAAATATTAGCAGTACGTCGTCATACACTGCGTTTGCCCGTACGAGTTCGCCACTCAAGAACCTTTCTTCCCCATCAGTTGTCTGTTATTCGAGCTATGTGACCAGCCCAATGCCACTTCAGCTTGCTTATACTTCGACATATCAAAACGTTAACAGTAATGAAAAATTATCATGTAAGTACGTTTTGCCATTATTAGTGTCGTTTTAAGGCTTAAAAATTAATTTAAATTTTATGTACGTACTCGTATTTACATCAGTTAACTGTGTTTCTCCTACTATTTAGTCCCCCAGCTTGAACGCGATGCGCGGGGGTCATGGGGTGCTTGCGCAACCTGGTCAAATCAGAGCGACACGAAATTAATTTCGTTGTGCATTGTTGAGGTTTTATTTAAGTTATTTTTAAAAATAGAATTTATTCATTTTTCTTGTTATGTCAATGTGTATTTTGTTTATTAGAGAAACGTCCTTACTTTTTAAAACATCTATTTTTGTACTAGGGAACAATATAACATATCTTTATTCAGTATCTCATATTTTTATTGTTTTATCCAACGAACCCTTCACAGTGCATTATTTTTATTTTGTTATATCTCTTAAGGTATTCTTTTAATTTGCATGGTGCAAAGGGAAAACTGATCTTCATAAAATGCTCAAGCCAACTAATGTATTTAAAATGATAAGGATTGATACCGTATTTGTGTAAATACTTTTACAATTACCGCTTTATAATTACCCATTTTTTAAAACATATAAGTAGTTCGTTTTCCTTAACAGATAAGAATATGCCATCGCGAATTTTTCTGTAAACCTATATAAGATATGCAATTCCACGTTTTCCAGGCAGCGTTTTCGTTACCAACTTACCGTTACCTTTACAGCGTTTCGTTAAAAGCTCCCAAGCTGCTTATTTTTTTCTACCTCCAACAAATAGCGTTATATTTTAAACAATATATATATATATATATATATATATATATATATATATATATATATATATATATATATATATATATAGAGACCCAAAAAATTATATACCGAAACCTTCTTCGGGATCTACTTTATCCATTGGTAAAAACAGCGTGAAAATCGTTGCACTAGTTTTTGAGTTTTTAAATTGAGTTTTTGAGTTCGAGTTTATAACAGACAGATAGACGCGGCGGAAGACTTTGTTTTATAACTTGTAGTGAAATAGAAGTTACATTTTTATGACACATACGTATCTTTAAACAGACGTAAGCTGATAAAAGTTTATTTTGAATTACAAATATCCGTCTTTTATCTTCGGGTTTACTTTGCAAGCATTTATAAATGTAAAATAACAAGATGCAATACTAAGTTTATTTATTTATTTATTTATTTATTTAATACTTTATTGTACACATTAGTTATAAAAATATGACAGAGGTAAACAAAAGTACAAAGGCGAGCTTAACTCTGATAGAGTTTTCTTCCAGCAAACCCAAAGTGGAAAGGAGCATCAATGTCAGCGGATACAGCAGTGTACAATTTTTAAATAGCCAAAATTAAATTAATTAGATTATATTATATAGTACAAATACACACATACATATACATAAATATATACCTACATCTATACATAAACCTACATATACATACACATATACATACAATATACCTACATATATAGATAAATAAATATATGTTCATAGAGATAGAAGATGCTCTTTAAGTCTACTCTTAAAAATATTTAGGGATTGACTCTCACGGATAGATATGGGAAGAGAATTCCACAATCTAGCAGCATGGACGGTAAAAGATCCACTATAGCGCGTAGATGAGTGTGAAGGGAGTTTGAGGATAAGAGATTTCGTCGAACGGGAGGACACGTCATGGGGAACTAGAAAATCAAAACGTTCACGAAGATAGGAGGGAAAAGTAGGGTTATATAGAACGGAATATAAAAACGACATTATATGAAAGTCTCGACGCCTTCGAATTGGCAGCCAATTCAATTTTGTTCTATAAGCGGAGACATGATCATATTTACGCAGACCATATATGAAACGTATACACAAATTCTGTAATCTCTCTAATTTGTTTAAAAGCTCTTCAGTTGCATCAAGGTAGGATATGTCGGCATAATCAAGAAGAGATAACAGTAGAGCTTGTGCCAAAGTAAGCCTTGTCTTAAATGGTAAGAATTTTTGCAATCGTTTAAAAGAATGAAATGAAAAACATAGCTTTTTGCTGACCCCATTAATGTGTTCATTCCAGTTATTCATTTTGCTCGTTATATTGCATTCCACAACACTATTAACTTCAAATGTTCTGCCTGACGTCATTCAATTTGGTAGTCTTGTCATTATCATTGGTTGTCATTCATTCATTCTGAGATATAATTCACTACGCCGACTTTTCAAAACAAAATTTCAAAAAATAGAATTTAAATTTATTTTCACCCATATGATTACGGTGTAGAAATTTTCAATGACATCATGTCGAGGATTAAAAACGACACAGGCGCAAAGCCTGGCAGCATATATCGAATTGCACTTGAAAACTTTGTGTAAGTGAATTTTGCGCGCTTTTTCTGAAACTCGCTTTGTACGTGTAATTCTTATAAAAACTTTTTTCAGAACATACAAACAAGTCGAGTTATTTCCTGGTCCGTCGCTGAATATGATTATCGGTCCAAATGGCACTGGTAAATCAACATTTGTTTGCGCCATCATTTTGGGTCTTTGTGGGAAAACTAACGTCATAGGAAGAGCTAAGAAGGTAATATTGCGGTTGTAATTTTCTATAAAATTTATTGGATTAAATTAAGTTTTATAAGTGTCTTATCAAATAATCCTTACTAATATTATAAACGTGAAAGTGAGTTTGTGTGTTTGTTACGACTTACAGCTTAACCAATCAGTAATCAGTAGTTAGTATAACAAACCAATAGTAATCAGTATGTATGTAAATCCTGTAAATCAAGTTTACAGGATTTACATACAGGAACATATCCCGATTATATGGACAAATTCATGGGTAAAAACTAGTCATAATTTATAATGAATCCAAATCCGATGATAAATTTACAGTTGTAAAAAAATGTATTATGTTTAAATATGTAGATATAAATAGTTGAATAGATTTGACAAAAATTTACAATCAATGGATTTAAATTCTTTGTTTCTTTAGGGTTTTCAACAACCAAGATTTGAAGAAGTAATGTTCATGATTCAATTTAAATTAATGTATTTACAAATTAAATGTCTTTTTTTAAGAAACTTGTGCATGTCAAATTCCAGATTTCTGAATATGTAAGAAGCGGCTGTGAAAATTCCACAATAGAAATCGAACTATACCAACAACCTGGGCAGCGAAATGTCATTATTACAAGAAACTTTGGTCTGAATGACTCCTCTACCTGGTCAATTGATCACAAGACAGTTAGAGAAAAACAAGTGCTGGAACTTATAGCATCACTGAATATTCAGGTAATTTTTTTGTGCAATTTGGTTTGACAAACAAGGTGACAACCCACCTGATGGAAAGTAACAACTGTCAATTATACTTATATATACCATGTCAGCTGTTAACTGTCCAATGCTGAACATAAGCCTCTCCAATGGGTGGTTTTACCAATAGTTTCCATGTTTGGCAGGCAGGTTGGCAACAGTAGTTGGGCTTTAGAGATGTTTAAAGAGGGACACTGTTAATCATCCTTCATCCTCCTGTAGTCACCTCTTATGACATCCACAGGAAAGGAAGGGATGGTCTATTCTATGCCGGGACCACATGAGCATTAAGTTTCTTTGATTGCCACTTACGATACCCACTGCAACTATCTATGCCAGGGCAGCACAGGAATGTATAGCATCATGGCAATTACAGTATACACATTTCCCTTCATGTATTAGCCAGTGGTGTATTTAAAATTGTCTTTCATAATGAATCTGGTCCCTTAAAAAAGATGTGTATGTAATGTCAGATACTGAGAGGTATGTTGTAAGGATGTGTATGTGTGTTACCAAATACATATGTGACATGGATTTGTAACACATAGACATCAGGCTACTAGAAAGTTGTGATAGGAGCTACACTATTATAGACAAATATAGTTAGATGTATCACACATATCCTTATTTACATTTGAGTATGTTTTAGTAATATTTGTTCTGATTTTTCAGGTTGACAATCTATGCCAACTGTTGCCACAAGACCGTGTTCAAGATTTCTCCAAAATGGACCCACAGCAGTTGTTACGGAGTACTTTATCTGCTGTCAGTGGTCAGGAAAGTGTCACTCAACTGGAAGAGTTGATCAAGTGCAGAGATCAACAAAGGGGGTTGTCAACTAAACTGGAAAATAACACTCAGTTGATGCAAGAGCAAATTAGACTTAATGAGAGGTAAGTTGAATCTGGTAATCATATGGTTTTATGGGCTGATGGAGTCCTAACAGAGTATTTATTTATTAATCTACGTCAATAGTAAATACTACTACTACTAGTAAATAATACTACATATACTTATAAAAGGCGAGCATAACTTTCAGAATTTTACTGATGTATTTTAACTACTGAGCATTTTTTTTTATACTACTTAGAATGGCAAACAAGCTGACAGCCCACCTGATGGAAAGTGGTAACCGTCGCCTAAAGACATAACAAAGTATACTGTTTCGCCCATGATACCCCCCATGTGTTGCCATTCCTGAGGACTCAGGTGTTATTCCTCTGTACCCAGTAAATTCACGCCATATCCCACCCTTCAAACCGAAACACAGCCATGCAAACACAACTACTTCACGGTTGAAACATGAATGAGAGCATAATCAAGATGAAAAGTAGAATAAATGTGCATTACATAAGAAAGTTGAAATTTGAAGTTAAAATGAGGAAAATAAACATAATCTAGCATTCCTCCCTCACTGCTACCAGATTCCTGAGTTATAAATGTGACTATCAATTCAATTCAATCTATTTATTGCTATTTCATGTAGTAATAATATAGGTTTTAAGCTATTAAGGGTAAAGAATCAACATGAACCCTGGAAGGGCACAGCAATCACATTAATAAATATTACATAAAGTACATAATTATATCTATACTATCTCTGTAGTAGTATATAGTACATGGGCGGCGGTAGTCACTTACCATCAGGTGAGACGCATGCTCGTTTGCCCCCTGTGCTGTAAAAAAAAAATAGTTTTTTTTAAATGATATAATGGGTTTGAATTTGTTTGGGTCAATTTACAGAAAGTAACAGATCATACATTGTTAACTCATGAATTGGCTGTTATGTATTGTTATTAAATAAATACAATTGAATTGAATAAACTGCAGTTTCTTATTGATATATTAGTCATAATTGATATACTACACTACATTATTTTTATACTAGCTTTTACCCACTTTTACGTCTGCATCGCCGGGATATGTTTATTGATGGAAATAAAGATTAGCCTAGTATTATTAGTCCTTCTCCTCATATAATACGTTTATACTAAATTTTATAGTAATTGGTTAATTTTTAAGGTGTTATAAGATAATAAACAAACAAACTTACTTTCACATTTATAATATTAGTAATTCTAGTTCTTCTGCTGTATTCGGTGCTTCTTTTTTTTTATATTTAAAATATTTATCCACATTAATACAGTTTATGATCTATCGAATTTCAGACTCAAACTAGTTATTGACGCAATGAAACAGAGAAGAGAAATAGAACATCAAATAGAGATATGTGAAAAGAAAAAACTGTGGATAGAATACCAAGAGTTACGGGAGAAGGTTATGGAATGTACGAATGATAAAAAACAAACTGTCAAGTTATACAATAGCCACAAAACTAAAATTGAACCTTTGGAGAAGGCATTGGAAAAGGCCAAAAGTAGTATTAATAGAATGGAACAACAAAAATTAGCAGCTGTAAGTATATTAAATTGAATTTTTTTATGCTTTAGAGTGATATTATGTGGATGGATGTAAATGGGGAGACCTAGACTAACCTATTATGATCAGGTAGACTGTGTTCTTTCTAAAGGATGAGTCAAAAGTCTCCAAAATCGGTGTGTATACATGAGATGCATTATGATAGTGCAGGAAGCAAGCAATGTATATAAGGAGAGAGATATCTTTTGCACTTGGTTCTTTTTGCCTACCCCTTTAGAAACTTGGTGTGAAGATAGATAGAGTGACAACAAATTGTAAATGGAACATTTAAAAATAGATGTCCAAGTTGAATCGCTTTTATGGGATAAGTCTGCAATTGTATATTTAATAATTTATCAGTGTTCAATGTGAATTATGTATAATAAAGATTTTACAATACAATACTATTGATTTAAAGTCTTATTCCTTAATGGTACAATACTATTGAATGCTTGCACGTCATTCACATGTTACTGATCCTTGTGACATGAAGATCTTGATTATTTAGTAGTCTCACAGTTGGTTGAAGGGTGAGATATACTTTTTAAACTGAAATACAACCAGCAAGTAAGCTGTTTGGCTAAGAACTCCCTCTAGTCTTCATTGATTCAGCTGTTAATTGTATACTGAGGTGGTTCAGGACCATTCCCTGTGGCAGTCTATTGGGAAGGTCTGTGGCGTCTGTAAATAAATATTGTAAATATTCATCTCATAGCCACTTGTCAACATCATTACTTTCTTTTCCATCAAGTAGGTTAATTAAATTGTATAATACATAGATATTTCACCTCTTTCTTTCCTTCGGACTGGTCGTACAGACATGACAGCGACATTTACTTTCTACATACATTTCTGCTGTCATTCTCTCCATCTCGATCACTCGCGTCTTACACTTCTAATTTCTGTTTTTATATATTATTTTCTACATATTCCTTTGTATGTAATATTTACCTTCTGTATATAATATATGTAAATAGACAAAGTTAGTTGTTATACTTATTTCCTCTGAACAACTACAGGTCAATGTTTAGCAGTGGACAGTAATGGCTGAGACAATAATGATGATGTCCACTGTTGAACATAGACTTCCTCCATAGATTTCCATAAGGTACAGTTTTGAGACATATGCATTCACTGACTCCCCGCAATACATAAAATCTTTGCTCCATCTTGAGTAGGCATTTATCCTACACTGCAATTATTTGTAGAGAGTTACTATTTAAGAATTTCTTTACCATTTTTTCTCTAGTAATCTCTTAGAAATGTTATTTTTAGAGTCGCGAAGTCCACACATTGAAAGATAGAATAAAAGAATCAATGGAGGCTGCACGTAATCACGAATATATGATTAAGGATATAGAAGCGTCGTACCAAGAGAAGCTAGAAAGATATAAGAACAGAGAACGGGAGCTACAAGAAGCTAGAGTGAAGTTGGACAAGTTGGTTACAGATGAAAGGGTATTGAAGGAGAAAGTTGGAGATGGTAAGTGATAAGATTGGCTACTGCATCATTACCACAAATACGTGGTCTTTTATTCCTTATTAAAAGTATAATGCAATGGGATAATAAATGGATAGCTTGCATTAGTTTAACGCCACGTGCAGTAGATTTTTCGTCGCGGATGATCGGTGACCGGCTCCTATATTTCCATACATAAAATTATGCTACACACTCATGTCCATGTTTTCTGGGGGGAAGGGATCGTTAGTAATGCGGGCTACCACTCCCATTGCTAACAATATACCCTGTCAACAGGTCGACCTCCACGCGGTTCCCCCTGGAAACCATCGTGCTGAGTTCCAGGTGTATTCATCACGATGGGCTAACTGACCTGCTTTTTTCATTATTCACCTATCATCTCTTACTTCTTCTTATCGAAATAAAAACTAACCTATCTCTCAAATTGAAGTGTTTGCTCCAACATAGACATTTACATAATTGAAGATCGTGTCCCACAAAAAAATCCGTCTTCAATTGTGGCAAAAAATTTAATTCAAACTAAATTACTGAACTCATTTAGATAACATATCTATGGGACCAACCTGTAAGTATATCTTAATATAATAACTACTCACGAAAGATTTAATAAAATCTCATATCTAATATATTGTTTCTCTTAAATATCTATTGTCTTATTACAATTATATTGATTAAAATGTATACCATTTCCATTGAAGTAAAAATTTACTACATATAATTTATATAAAAAAAAAAATAGTCTACGATCTGTACGTACATGCTTGTTTACCATTTCATATGTGTAATAAATGAACCTCGAAATATATCCCTTACAGTTACTCAATCTCTGATAAAACATGTTAATTTTCAGAAAGCTCTGTGAAAATGGAGTTGGCAGAGTTAAAAAAAATAGTAACAAAGACGAACGCTGCATTGGAAATGCTTAAGAAACAAAAGTTGGAGGTGCAGTACGATCTTGAGAACAACGTAGTACCACAAATACGGCTTTATCAGAATAAGTAAGTAAGAGCCATCTATTGTCGAATTTTGGAATTAATGCCATGTTTTATTATTACAGCAAAGATGGTCAACTTGATTAGACCATAGATCTATTATTGTTTATTAATAAACACTGTGTGATCTATCAATTTTGTTAGTGAGTCGGGTTAAGTACATTTATTATAATTTTGTATGTTAGCACACTAGATTTATAACATTAAATTGGGTTTGCTATTATAATGTTGTAATTACCAGAGGGAGATTGTACAAAAGTCGATTGCTTAGGTACCTCTGTCCCATTCTTGTATCAACTGTCAAGCAGTTGTTTGCATAGCTGTGTTTCGATTTGAAGGGTGGGATATGGCGTGAATTTACTGGGTACAAAGGAATAACATCTAGGTCCTCAGGAATGGCAACGCATAGGGGTTATCATGGGCGAAACAGTGTATTCTGTTGTGTTCATGGTACTGCTCATGTTTATAGGCGACGGTTGCCACTTTCCATCAGGTGGACCGTCAGCTTGTTTGCCATTCTAAGTTGTATAAAAAAAATTTAATGAATAAATAAATAAATAAATCATGTCTGCCATTAAGTGTCCACTGCTGAACATAGTCTCTCCCTATTGAGGGGCTTTGCCAGTAGTTGCCACGCTTGGCAGGCAGATTGGTAACCGCAATTAGACTTTTAAAGAGGGACGCTGCTGCCCAACCCCCTACAATTAAGTTCCCTTAGTCGCCTCTTACAACACCCACGTGAATGAAATAGATAGCTTATTCTTTGCTACGGCCACACCGCAGTTGGTGATTACGATCTGTACTATATATTTTTTATATATATAAATATTATTATTATGTATAATAAATTTTATACTGTTCTTTGCCGCCATCGACTAGACTAATAATCGCTATCGACGGGTTGGCAAACCCTGGTGTGTAGTTTTTTACGGGATATTTGCAGTAGTAAAATATTATAGTTAATAGTACCAGTTTTTTTTTATGGGTGAAAATGGTATGGTAACCACGCCTGCGCTAACGGGATACGCTGGCAGAGCACCAATGAAGGGTGATAGATGAGAATGAAAACAGGCCAGTTAGCCCATCATGATGAATTCATCAGGAATTAACCATGATAGTTTCCAGGGGGAACCGCGAGGAGGTCGACCTGGTTGAGTATATTGCTAGCAATGGGACTCTCAGTTTCCATTACTAATAATCCCTTTTCCCCCTAATAGTACCAGTTTGGCATAGACTTCATGAATACTTTTATATAGAACAAATATTTTTTATGATATGTATAATGGCAAACAAGCTAATATCCCATCTAAATGTAAGTAGTAACCGTCGCCTATAGACATGACTGTTCACGTCTATAGGCAATTGTGCTGTACCTTACCGAATCCATTGCCCATGCCCATCCAGAGCCCATGGTAGCCCTCATGTGTTGCCATTCTTAAAAACCAATTTCACCGCTATTGAAAGCGTGGACTATATATGTGGAGTTAAAACACTGGTTATATAAAATTGGTATATTTGTACATATCTATTAGTTACTATACAGTTCTATATTACGATATCAGGTGGCGCCACTAGTTGAAAGTAAACATATATTTTATAAAAATACATTTCGTTGCTAGCAACCCTCCACCGTTTGTTTTTCAAGGTACTTTCTTCCACGCACAACCACTCTTTCGAATCAACTTCTAGCAGCAGTATTTCCGAACCGATATTACTTTTTAAAGGCCGGTAGCACACCTGCAATGCCATTGGTGCTGCGGGTGGTCATAGGCGGCGGTAGTTACTTACCATCAGGTTAGCCGCATGCTCGTTTGCTCCCTGTGTTATTAAAAAAAACAACTGCCACATCTCACCTTTCAAACCCTATAATCACAGCAGAAGCACGAGTATCAATTAACACAAGTTGATTATTTTCCAGAATACGTAACCTAGAAGATGTAAGTGTGAAACGTCTAGAAACTCTCCGTTTGTACAGCGAGGATTGCTACAAAGCAGTAATGTGGTTTCGCGAGAACAGAGACATGTTCCAGGCACCTGTGTACGAACCCATGATGTTAGAGGTGAGTATATCAATGTATATGTATATATATATATATATATATATATATCGTATCGTATATATGTATATATAGCCGCGTGATACCGGCGTAAAATGGGCTACCCCAACCTTTCCCGTGGGTGTAGTGAGCGAACAAGGGAACTTAATAGTTAAGAGATGGGCAGCAGCGTCCCTCTTAAAACATCATCAAAGCCTAATTGCGGTTGCCAACCAACTTGTCAAGCGTGGCAACTACTGGCAAAATCCCCTTAAGGAGAAGGCCTATGCAGCCTTTTCCATAAGGAGTTGCCACGCTTGGAAGGCGGGTTGGCCACTGCAGTTAGGCTTTCAGATATGTTTTAAGACGAACGCTGCTGCCCATTCCTCGCCCTTTTTATTCGCCTCTTATGACACCCACGGAAAAGGTGGGGGGGGGGGGGGGGGGGGCATTCTATTCCGGGGCATACAACAACGACATTTGGTAGTTTGCCATTTTATAAAAATAAAATATCCTTACTTTAATAAAACTATCAAACGTGTAATGTCTGTAAAACAGGAATGTTACGCGCACGTTGCCGATGCGTTTATATATATAAAAATTATATATAATCTATATATATAAAAATTAATGCCTCTTTTCGTTGTATTTGTGCCAGTTTTTTTTGTTTGTATAAATGAATTTGATGTTAATTTTTTTTTTTATTAGCGCACTTTATACGTAGCGAAGCACGTACCGGGCCGCTATTAATTTATATAATTATGTATATAATATAAGAATGTATGTGTATTACATCATAATATTTTTTCCAACAGATCAACTTTACAGATCCAAAGTTCGCCCGTTACCTAGAATCAACGGTGCCCGCTCGCGACCTAGTGGCTTTCACGTTCGAATCTAAGCAGGACATGAATTTGTTCCTGCAAAAAGTTAGAATTGAGGGTAATTTGAAAAGGGTCAACGCCATATGCAGCCAAGGTGGAAAAATGAATATACCTCAAAGGGATATACAGCAGTTAAGGTATGTTATTCATCTATAATTTATTTACTAGTGAGAAAATATAAAAAAATCTGTTGTCAATAGTTGCCACGCTTGGCAGGCGGGTTGGCAGCCGCAGTTAGCCTTTGATGATATTTTAAGAGTTAAGTTTGTAGATGTTAGCATACTAACTGCATCCCGTGACTTTGCCCGCGTGAATCACTACATGTATGTTAAGTTAGTACATATATGTTAAGTTAGAACATAACCTAGTCAAATTTAATTCTAAATCACTCTATTTTTAATGTCTGAAAATGGACTGGTAACTCAATATTATACGCTGGCAAGGCACCAGTGATAGATGATAGATGAGAATGAAAGCAGGTCATTTAGCCCCATCGTGAAGAATTTGACAAGAACCATGATGATTTACAGAGGGAACTGTGTGGAGATCAACCTGTTAGGTATATTGCTGGCAATGGGGCTGTTAAAACTCATTACTAACAATCGTCCCCCCCCCTTGTAATCCACTCAGTGGTTTTTGGTATGAAAGAGTAACCAGAATCTGATATATTTTGGTTATTCTTATTTAGAGATGTTGCATCTCTGTGCATCTTCTACCGAATTTATACATGGGAAGTGTTCTGAGGAATTGTTCGGATTGATACCTGCTGCTGATTTTCACCACCGTACAGGTGGTGAAAATCAGCCACAAACTAAAGTTTCATCCCAATCATCTGGACGAGTGGCGGTCTTCCACCGTGCGTTTTTCAAGGCACTTTCTTCCACGCACAACCATTCTTTGGAATCAACTTCCTGCAGCAGTATTTCCGAACCGATATGACAGCATAACCTTCAAGAAAAGAGTATATTCCTTTTTAAAAGGCCGGCAGCACACCTGCAATGCCGCTGGTGTTGTGGGTGATCATGGGCGGCGGTAGTCACTTATCATCAGGTGAGCCGCATGCTCGTTTGCCCCCTGCGTTGTAAAAAAAGAATGCAAAAGCCATCCACCCTTACAATCTTTGGAATTTTAATGAATGAATGAATGATAACTTTATTTGCTCAAATCCAACTTGTATTTTGTTGTATTGTAAGTGTGAGTAGGGTAGTGTAAAAATTAAAAGATGTCTTTAAATAGTTATTCCATTTTCAGCTACCTTGGTTTCTACACGTACCTTATCGACACAATAACAGCGCCGGACGCGATCATACGCTACCTGTGCAAGCAGTACTCAATACACAGGATACCCATTGGCAACGATCACACGTACAAGAACAGCGGCAAGGTGCCGAATGACATCACATACTTTTATACTGGTACGTATATTAAATATACAATTGGGACTTACTTGGCCGTGCTGTCTCGGTATAGAGTAAGCCACCCCCTTTCCTTTCCCGTGGGTGTCGTAAGAGGCGAATAAGGGAGGGCGAGAGATGGGCAGCAGCGTCCCTCTTAAAACTTTTCTAAAGCCTAACTGTGTTTGTAAACCTGCTTGCCCCCCCCCCCCCCCCCCCCCCCCCCCCCCCAATGATAAACTACTTCGTTTCGTACCACCACTTAGATTATGTAGATAGCATCGAATATCAAAAACGGGTCAGCTTTTTGTCATATACTTACGCATATAATGTAACTTCTATATATCTATATTTAATTATTTAATATATAAAATGAGTTTTTACGCATTAAAGAAAAAAAAAAAACGAAATAAATACTAAAGTTGTAAAGGAAACATTCATAACTATTTATCATGCAAAATTGTATAAAAAAATTGATCCGCTTTTCTCGAAGCATTCGTAAGGAGACACCCTATCTGTATAATCTAAGCAACTATATTATATTATATACGTGTATGTTGTTATGTCCTCAGCGAACCACCGCTTCACTGTCCGCGTGTCCGCGTACAGCGGCGCCAAGTCCAGCTCCACCATCGAGATCCGTCCCGCGAAGCTGCTCGCCAATTCACTCGACGTCGACCAGCTCACCAACTACAACACACAGTCAGTACCATATGGCTAAAGCCGCCAATTTCTTCTACTAATAATAATTTCCAGGGTACAGAGGAATAACACCCGAGTTCTTTTTTTATACAACTTAGAATGGCAAACAAGCTGACGGCCCACCTGATCGAAAGTGGTAACCGTCGCCTATAGACATGAGCAGTACCATGTACATAACAGAGTATACTGTTTCGCCCATGATACACCCCATGCGTTGCCATTTCTGAGGATTCATCATAGGGAGACTTTGTACAATAGTCGATTGCTTGGGTACTTCTGTCCCATTCGTGTTTCAACTGTAAAGCAGTTGTGTTTGTATGGCTGTGTTTCGGTTTGAAGGGTGAGATATGGCGTGAATTTACTGGGTATGGAGGAATAACACCTGAGTCCTCAGCGTTTACCCGTACGGGGTCGCCACTCAAGAACCTTTCTGCCCCATCGGTTGTCGGTTCTTCGAGTTGTGTGACCTGCCCATTGCCACTTCAGATTGCTTACCCTTTGGGCTATGTCGGTTACATATAATAAATACATACATACATAAATAAGTACATGAAATATTACTAGATAAAACAATTAGATAAAACGACTGTAATAGAAGAGAGTAACCAGCAGAAGTTTAAAGGGAAAGTGATGGAATGAATCACCAACAAAGATATTACGGATTTTATTGTGTGTTCCAATCCCTTGCTCGCGGGGGGAAAGGCATTGTTAGTAATGGAGACTGAGAATCCCATTGTTAGCAGTATACCCAACCACGTCGACCTCCTCGCGGTTCTCCCTGGAAATTATCATGGTTAATTCCTGATGAATTCATCATGATGGGCTAACTGGCCTGTTTTCATTCTCATCTATCACCCTTCACTGGTGCTCCGCCAGCGTATCCCGTCAGCGCAGGCGGGGTTACCATACCATTTTCACCCATAAAAAAAAACCCTTGCTCGCGGCGCTGGCGGCCACAGCGCGTAGCCGTGGTATCCCTTAGTTATGTACTCTTTGGCGGTCGGCTTCCTACGTAAAATTAAATACATATTATATTATTTATAGGATAGCAAATTTCGAAGCAACCGCACAAGGTCACAGAGACAGGATCAGGGTTCTGGACAGCAAATCGGACACGCTAGAGGAGAATTTAAACGAGCTGAACACCAGACGGAAGAGGATCAACGAGGGCTTCGAAAAAGTAAGTGAACAAAACTGAACTTTGAAAACCATGCATGGTCAATCATGCGCGATCTTTTACATGACAATGTTATTTTAGTTAATGGTCGAGGGTTAGGCAGCATCGTCCCTATTAAAACAGCACTAAAACGTTTGTCATATGTGGCAACTACTGGCAAAACCCCTAAAAGAGAAGGCCTATCATTGCTGAACATGAACAGATGTCAGACTTCTATTTTTGAATAATTTTTTATTTAACTCAGAATGGTAATAAAGCTGACAGCCCACCTGATGGAAAGTAGTATCCGTCGCCTATAGACATGAGCAGTAACCATGGACATAACAGAGTATACTGTTTCGCTCATGATATCCTCCATGCGTTGCCATTCCTGAGGACTCAGGTGTTATTCCTCTGAGCCCTATAAATTCACTACCATATCCCACCCTTCAAACCGATACACAGCCATGCAACCACAACTGCTTCACAGTAGAGAAACACGAATGGGACAGAGGTGCCTAAGTACGCCTTTTGTACATATGTTAAAAGTCTGTTATTCATTATTATTTTGCATAACAATCTTTTAACATATTCGTTGTTGAATCAGTATTAAAGGAGGGATCTCATTGCTACCAATATACCCTGTCAGGTTGACCTCCACGTGATCCCCTCTGGAAACCATTGTGCTGAATTCCATATGTATTCGTCAATAATGGCTAACTGGCTTCACTGGTGCCTCGCCATCATGTACCGTTAGTGCAGGAGGGGTTACCATTCCATTATCATCTACTAAAAAACTGACAATTACCAGGTGTATTTTCTCTCAAGTTGGAACAAACATTACACCAAATTTACAAAATTTTATTTAAATCGGTTGAGTGGTCTCGGAAATTAGCGTAAATGTACAGTGTGTCATAGGATTTTAATATGATGGGATGGGATGGGATGGGATCTTTAGATATTACTAGAATTAATGTTTATTTCTGTGAAATTGAAGTGGCAATGGGCTGGTCACATAGCTCGAAGAACCAACAACCGATGGGGAAGAAAGATTCTTGAGTGGCGACCTCGTACGGGCAAACGCAGTGTAGGACGACCCTCCACTAGATGTGGTGATGACCTCAAAGACATTGCAGGGAGTCAGTGAAGCAGGTGGCTCAGGACCGTTCCTTATGGCAGTCTATGGGGAAGGCCTATGTCCAACAGTGGAGATAGTGGCTGAAATGATGATGATAAATGTTTAAATATGTTTTTAAAACAGGTGCATGAAATTGGCTCCCAAATCCGTTTGCAAAAGAAGAAAATCCAAGACATAGAGAACGAGCCATTCTTCAACATTCAGCAAGAGAGGGGCCGGTGTAAGAGAAAACAAAGGGACTGTGTCTTGAAACAGTGTAAACTGCAACAAGAGATCTGTGATGACATGAAGAGGTTGGAGTCCGAAGTACTCAATGGACAAATGTGGAAGGTATGTATACACTTTTTTAGGATTCCATACCATAAAAGGAAAAACAGAATCCATATAGGATCATTTTGTAGTCCATTAAGATTCTTATTTTCAAGATCGTGTGGACCTCCATCATGATATTTATCAAGCTGAAATTAATATCAAATATTCAAATCTTCAATCTTTTGAAGCTGTGAACAAATCAGACTTCTATGTACGTACGCACATACAAAAGATACGATGGTTTATAACGTAAAAAAATACATTCATATAGGACTTCACAGCATTATTTTGTACATTTTTTTTATCTACCACACAGTTTGAGAAGCTGTTATATATATATTTTTTTAATATAAGTTTAATTTACAAATTTCGAATCTAATTTATTTATCTTCAAGTGAACACCTTAATCTCTTCTTAATTCATTAAAATATATATCTCTGGGCATACTACACAACGCCATCTAGTCCTTAAATAAGCAACTTTTCTACTAAACACAACTGATAGATAGATATGCATAATTATATATATATATATATATATATATATATATATTATATATATATATTAAGAAATACTTTCAAACTGAATTTATTGTTCTATCCATGCCATAATTTCTCAATCTTATGTTGCCCACCGTCCATATTGCCAACATGTTTTTTTTTCTAGAGTCTCCCATCTCAATGTTACTTACCATCTGCCTTTAAGCCGATATTTTTTAATCTGTCCACGCTTCTGCACCTTTTCAATGATGAACTACTTCATCTCTCGTCCTCTAATTTTCTCTGGGACCTTCTACTGCCCTTCTGAATGTCTCAAACGCTCACAGAATAGCAGTCAGAGATTGATAGCTAAAATGGAATGTTGTGGAACTTCTGATAGTAATAGTGGTGGTCAATCTTCTAGTGTTGGCAGTCACACACATACTAATGGTAGCGGAATTAAACAAAATAGTTCTAATCAAATAACCAGTGATATGGATTTCCGCAAATAAAATATGTAGCTATAAAATTATTCGAATATTTTTTTTTATACAACTTAGAAAAGCAAACAAGCTGACGGCCCACCTGATGGAAAGTGGTAACCGTCGCCTATAGACATGAACAGTACCATGGACATAACAGAGTATACTGTTTCGCCCATGATACCCCCCATGCGTTGCCATTCCTGAGGACTCAGGTGTTATTCCCCTATACTCAATAAATTCACGCCATATCCCACCCTTCAAACCGAAACACAGCCATGTAAACACAACTGCTTCCCGATTAAAACACGAATGGGATAGAGATACCCAAGCAATCGACTTTTGTACAAAGTCTCCCTCTGGTAAATTTTATTATTTCGAATATTGGAATGCAAGCCCTATTTGTAAGATGTTGTAGTTTTGATAAGTATTTACTTCGCAGGTAAAACTGGACTTCAGCAGAAAGGCGATAGTCCAACAGGAATCTGAACTACGGGAACTAAAGACCGAACTCAGCAACGTCCAAGCTACTCTAGAGAACATCGAGAATGTTCTAACACGTGCCAAGTCGACCGCAAAAGAGAAATTGCTAGAAGCGAAGCGTGGTTGCGCAAACAAGTTGCCCCACGAAGCGGACTTCCCCTACAAGAAGGAGTTCGATGAACTGCCCTCTGATTTGAATAAATTGCAAGAGTATTGTTATGAAATGCAGACGAGGATGGACTGTATGGATAAAGGGGATGAACAGGTAAATATACCTCCTTATCTTTTGACCACAACAGAATATCAGTGTTTGGCTCTTTTTAGGGCAAAGCAATAAACTGAGTTGAGACAAAATGACATTTTTAACACAAAATGGTCTCAACTCAGTGCTTTGCTGTGGCACATTCGCAAAAAAATATATTACGTCTTTTCTGTACTTTTTTTTTGTATATATATTCTTTTTTCCCTTTTTTTTAAGTATGTACCAATATCTAATGTTATTTGTGTGCTGTGATATATCTATCTATATCATATATGACGTGCGCTTTCCTTCATACAGTTTTCTTTACACTATTTAGATAAGGATGTGGAGACTCATTTGGAAAAAAGAAAGAGAAAAAAATAGTTTAATAACTAAAATAGGTTTATGAGTGGTTTGACGTTTTATCAGTAGGAGAGGGTAAACTTTATTAATATTATAAATGTGACAAGGTGAGTCTATTTACTTTTTGTTAGTGCCTTAATGTGGTTGGTCGATAAAAAAATAACACAAGAAATATTAGATGGCGCTACAATCGAGACTTGTGTTTTTTGTTAATTATTATATAATTAAAGATAATGTGAGGCTAAATTTCTAGATTGATAATTTATCATAATTTTTGTCTTCATTTTTTAATATTATATTCTAATATATAAAATTCTCGTATCGCGGTGTTTGTTACCCTACTCCTCCGAAACGGCTTTACCGATTTATATGAAATTTTATGTGCATATCGGGTAGGTCTGAGAATCGGCCAACATCTATTTTTCATACCCTTCAATGATAATATATTTAAACCACCCACCCCTAAATATTTTTTAACAATTTTTTTTTATTTTTATTTTATGATTTAGCATTGAAAAATACATACAAATTCAAATTTTCACGCATTTACGATCAACCCCTGTTTTTTAATCGTCATTTTTATATGCCGCAATAGGGTTGAAAGATGACAATCGAATATAATAATTGTAGTACGAAAAAAATACATGTATATATTTCGATATAATGTATATGGTAAAACAACGTTTGCCAAGTCAGCTAGTATTTTTTATAATATTATTGGGTCAGTTTATTTTTTGTTTAACGCAAGTTCGTCGTCGGTACCATCAAAAGCTTTCTGTTTTTCCTAATGCTGGTAGAGAATGCCATACGGTATTAAGCCCGCCATTTTTACAAAAATTTATTGTGCAATAAACAATAAATAAATAGCAAACAAGCAAATTAACCCCCTACTGCATGGAGTGACGACCTGATATGCATTGCAGGGTGTCAGTGGATGCAGGTGGCTCGGGACCGTTCTTTATGGCGGTCTATGGGGGAGGCTTATGTCCAGCAGTGGACGAATAATGGATGAAATTATAATAATGATGAAGCAAATTAATCAATAAATAAATAAATTGATTTAGTATCAATACTCAATCGATAATAATATTGTTACGGTTATAACATTGCTAATGTACCTTATTGTAGGTTATAAAGGAATACGACGAGAGAGAAAAGTTGATTGCCAAACTGAAGGCCGAAGTGAATAACTCGAGCGATGTCAACAAAGAATTGGATATTAAGATGAAGCGAATCAGGTAATTTCTATTCTCCAACTGACTTCAAAAAGGTAGTTCTCGATGCAGTTGTATTTTTTTTATATTTGTTACCTCATAACTCCGTCGGTTGTAAACCAATATAAAGACATAAAGGACTTGCAAATTGGTCCTAGAATGAATAGAAATTTTATCAAAATCAGTTTAGTAGTTTAGTTTTTAAATCAAAATAAAATTACAGTATTTACTGATTACATATAGTTTTTTTTTTTTCTGAAACACAATCTCAATTATTTATTATATGCGGCTCGACTGTTTTTATGGAATTTCTGATTTCTATAGAATTAAAATAAAAAAAAAATCATATCTCTGAACCAGATAAGATTTGATCGTCGGGAGTTCTACTCTTACTATGTAATGATAATATATATATATATATATATATATATATATATATATATATATATATATATATATATATATATATATATATATATATATATATATATATATATCAATAATATATTTTAGCATCTTTATATAACAATATTGTTATATTATTATTTTACAAAGTTATATATATATATATATATATATATCGTCGCTTCCTTTCCCGTTGGTGTGGTAAGAGGCGACTAATAAAGAGTAGGTTCTTAGTTCGTCTATTTTCTTGCATGTTCAGCAATACGAGTATCTTGGCCGATTACAGGCCGATTTTGATAATTCTTTTTTAATTCCCATTTTCCATTACAGTTCACAATGGTTGCCGCCACTACTGGAGCTACTGCGCGATATCAACCGTAACTTCGGAGATATGTTCGCCAAAATGGGTTGCGCCGGCGAGATCAAGCTTGACAAGGGGGGCAGTGACGTGAGTAGCTTTATTTTAATACTAGTTAATAACCGCGACTTCGAGGGGGGAAAGGGATTGTTAGTAATGGAAACTAAAAAAACCCATTGCTAGCAATATACCTAACCAGGTCGACCTCCACGCGGTTCCTCCTGGAAACTGTCACGATTAATTCTTCATGATGAATTCATCATGATAGGCTAACTGGCCTGTTTTCATTCTCATTTATCACCCTTCACTGATGCCTTGCCAGTGTATCCCATTAGCGCAGGCGGGGTTACCATTCCATTTTCATTTATAAAAAAAAAACTGCGGTAGCTTCCCAAGCGTGGCAACTACTGGCAAAACTCCTCAATAGGGGGGAGGCCTATGTCCAGCAGTGGACGGTTAATAGCTGATATGATGATGATGATGAATGAACAGTACCTATAAAGGTATATTTCAAGGTATATATCAACATATTATTATCCATCCATTGCTGCACAAAGGCTTCCTCCATAGATTGCCACAAGAAGCGGTCCTGAATCACCTGCATCCACTGACTACTTGCAATGCATTCGAGGTCTTCACTCCACCTAGGGGAGGGGCTCGTCATACACTGCGTTTGCCCGTACGAGCTCGCCACTCAAGAGCTTATCTTTCTTTTGGTCACTTTAGCTCGCTTATCCTACCGTGTGGCGTGCAAATGATTAATGTAGAATATTTTTAATATTTCTGTTTAATATTTTTGTGTGTAATATTCCTTTTTTATGTGTTATTGTACTCGTGCTTTCCTGGGTGAGCGTATTGGAAGACTGCAAGGCTCACCCAGTGGATGTAATAAATGAATAAATGAATAAATTTTGAATTACGTACAGGAGGACTACGACAAGTACGGCGTGGCGGTGCTGGTGAGCTTCCGTCGTGGCGAGGAGTTGCGGCGGCTGACGCGGCACGCGCAGTCGGGCGGCGAGCGCGCGCTCGCCACCGCGCTGTTCCTGCTCGCGCTGCAGCAGCTCGCCACCGTGCCCTTCCGGTACTCTAACACCGACATTTTTTTTTATACAACTTACAATGGCAAACAAGCTGACGGCCCACCTGATGGAAAGTGGTAACCGTCGCCTATAGACATGAGCAGTACCATGGACGTAACAGAGTATACTGTTTCACCCATGATACCCCCCCCCCCCCATTCGTTGCCATTCCTGAGGACTCGGGTGTTATTCCTCTGTACCCTGTAAATTCACTGCCATATCCCACCCTTCAAATCTACCAGTATATGTAATAACTACCGGTTTAACTTACATGTAATTAGATTAAGAAATCGCGACTAGTTTCGGGATCAATTCGTGATCCTTATTCATGAGCGGCTGTGACGCGAGCGCTAATGTCACTATCATCGAGTTTTCTCGATCTAACTACACGTTGGTTAAACATTGTGTGTTTACGAAACTTTTATCAATATCAGGCTATATTTATGGTTGAAATTTGAGTCACTAGACTGTAGGTGTAACATTTTTAGTAGTAGACTCATTTTTTGCTGCTACTTCGTACACGTTGATTTCCGAACTAAAAAACCTACGAAATATACCATTGGCTTTTTCATCCCTATCTCCAATCTCCTGTGGAAGATCCCACTTAATTGTCTGCCACCACAGTGGTTTAAAAAAAAAAGTTTTGCAACTTTCCATGTTAGCCATCAATCCCCGACCGCTATTCAGTCCACGCACGTTTTGTTAAATTGTTTTTCAAAATAACCGATAACTCGAACGTTGCCACGATTCCGCAAGCTTTTTCACCTTTAATAGATTGTTTTGTATTTCTATTCTAATATTTCAAGTTTTAAAATTTTAGATGCGTGGACGAGATTAACCAAGGCATGGACCCCATCAATGAGAGGAAGATGTTTTCCTTACTAGTTAAAGTGACCACCGAGTGTGATAATGCACAGTACTTCTTATTGACACCAAAGGTGAGTATTTATTTATTTCATCATCATCCTTTAACTGTCCACTGATGAACGTAAGCCTCCACCTAGAGGGGGCTTTCCCAAGTTGTCACGCTTGGCAGGCAGATTGGCAAACGCGCTTTAGAGATGTTTTAAGAGGGACGCTGCCTTAGTCACCTCTTACAATATCCGCGGGAAAGGAAGGGGTTTTTTTATGAGTGAAAATGCTATGGTAACCCCGCCCGCGCTAACGGAATACGCTGGCGGAGCACCAGTGAAGGGTGATAGATGAGAATGAAAACAGGCCAGTTAGCCCATCATGATGAATTCATCAGGAATTAACCATGATAGTTGCCAGGGAGAACCGCGAGGAGGTCGACCTGGTTGGATATATTGCTAGCAATGGGATTCTCAGTCTCCATTACAAACAATCCCTTTTCCCCTGAAAGGAAGGGGTTGTACTTACATGGCTGTATTTCAGTTTGAAGGGAATACGGCTGTGAAAGTACGCCTTAAGTTTGGCATGCAGGGTGTCATTGGCGTCACAGTGTATTCTGTGATACTTATAGTGCCATTCATGTCTATAGGCAACCATTAGAAGGGTCGTATACTTATTTTGCGTTTAATTTGTAATAGAATATAATTAAAAGATTGTGTTTTACAAAAAAGCGACTTAAATTGTGGTAAAATTAATTTTGATATCAAAACTAAACTGCTCAATCGATTTTTTAATATTTTTTTTTATACAACTTAGAATGGCAAACAAGCTGACGGCCCACCTGATGGAAAGTGGTAACCGTCGCCTATAGACATGAGCAGTACCATGGACATAACAGAGTATACTGTTTCACCCATGATACCCCCCATGCGTTGCCATTCCTGAGGACTCAGGTGTTATTCCTCTGTACCCAGTAAATTCACGCCATATCCCACTCTTCAAACCGAAACACAGCCATGCAAACACAACTGCTTCACGGTTGAAACACGAATGGGACAGAGGTACTCAAGCAATCGACTTTTGTACAAAGTCTCCCTCTGGTAATTTTTTTATCGGCCTAATTTGTAAGATACAAAAAAAAGAATTTCCCAAATCGGTTTATGTCTGATGGAGTTATGACATAAAAAACATAAAGAAACGTACTACTGAACTGAGGACCCCCTTTTTTTTTAAGTCTATTGAAAATTCAAAGGCTCTGAGAACAGTTTTTTAGAAGTCGGTTTAAAAACTGAAGAAAGAAGGTTATTATACTTGAAAGCAAGATATATTTATTTAGTGTTTAATAATAAAAAAAAAATAATAATAAACAAAAATGTTCTTTCGCTGATTTACAGTGGCACCAATTTATTACTACTGTCCAATATATATTTTTTTATATATATATATATATATATATATATATATATATATATATATATATATATATATATATATATATATATATATATATATATATATATATATATATATGGTTTTTCCTGTCCAATTTCTTATTTCTATATTAATCATATTATATTTTTTATCTTTTCAGTTGCTGACAAATTTAGAATACAACTCCAAGATCATGGTCCACACCATCATGAACGGGAAGGCCATCATGAATTATAGAAAATGGAAATACGATAAGTTCATTGAAAACGCACCCAACTACAGAATGTAAAATTTTCCTGTATGTTTTAAGTATTATACTACTTCTGAAATCCACGCGTACAAAATAGCGGGTAGTTTGAATGAAGTTTCGCCAAGAGGTCAAAAACAGTTAATTGCACGTAACTTTAATCGACAAGTTGAACTTTTTATGAAATGTTCATAGTGAGAGTTAGCATGAGTGTATTTTTTTTTAATGGATGATAATAGAATAGTAATAGTAATATAGTAACCTCGCCTGCACTATTGGGGTACCAGTGAGTGATGATAGGTGACGATAAAAGCAGGTTAGTTAGCCCATCGTGACGAATTCAACAATAAATCAATCACGATGGTTTACAGGGGGAACCGCGTGGAGGTCGACCTGATAGGGTATATTGCTGGCAATAGGATTACTAATCTTCATTACTGACAAATTTATTAAATTTCTAATAAATTTAAGTGTGATTGTCCATTAAACAGTAATTTCACGAAACTATAAAAAAAAAACTGCTCTACCTGCTGTCGTTGATGATATTTTCCACTTTGGGTGTTGCTGGAAGAAAACTCTTTTAGAGTTAAGCTCGCCTTTGTACATTTACTTAGCTCTGTTATATTTTTTATATATTATCTATGTGTACATTAAAGTATAGAATAAATAAATAAAATACTAGGTTGTGAGGTAATTTATAGAAATAGCGTTTATTGCAATCGATTACAAAGAGTTCTTCTCTAAAACCAATACATTCAGTTTGATGATAATATCCAAAGGGAGAGTTTGTACAAGTCGTCTGTATGGGTATTGGGCACTTCTGTCCCATTCACGTTTATACCGTTAAGCAGACATGCTTCCATGGTTGTGTTTCACTTTCAAGGGTACGATACAATATATATATATTTGAAAACTGAATGATTACAAAGAGTTCTCTAAAACAAACGCTTTCAGTTTGATGATAATATCCAGAGTGAGGGTTTGTACAAGTCGTCTGTATGGGTATTGGGCACTTCTGTCCCATTTATGTTTATACCGTTAAGCAGACATGCTTCTATGGTTGTGTTTCACTTTCAAGGGTATGATACAATATATATATTTGAAAACTGAATAAAAAGCAATACTTTTGCATTTACTGTTGTTAATTTATCTTGTAAATATTATTAAAGTAACATCAATAGTTTTTAATTTAACAATTCAAGATATAGTTTCGACGGTTTCGTATAGGATTTTATTTCGAATTTTCCTTCTCTTGCAATGATTTATGGTTTTTTTAACTCTTTAGTTGGCTCTTATGACATCCTGGTGATGAAAAGAAATGATGACAAAGTGCACGGGGTTTAGTGTGTAGTATTGTAGAAATTTAAGAAACAGGCGTAACATATCCCCCGCCTTGAATTATGACCAATTTATTTTAGTAGTACAATCTAATGTATTTTTACTGGATTATTATATAGACTTATTTAAAATAATACCAAAAGAGATATCCTAGACAAATCTCTTTCTTTTTTTAAATATTTGTAAATACGTAGGTATTAACATAGTATGTCAATGTTTTTTCTAAACTCATACTGTATGTACGAGTCGTGTAATTATATGAACTTTTTGTCTGTCAATTTGTTGTTATATATATTTTTTTTACTATAATATAAAAATAGCTCCATGTTTTATTCAGAATATTAATTATTTTCCTTCAGGTTAAGAAACCTGACCGAGACAAGAGATTAACTAGTAAACTAACCTTACTATGAGATAGAACGCTATTGCTGTCTCATTTGATCTTAAATTGCATTTAAGATTTTTCACTTGCCTGAAAGCCCAGAGTTATTATGAGACAGAAAGCTAATGCTGTTTTATTCTATCTCAAAACGCATTTAATAGATATGCCACTTGCTAAAAAGGCTCGATTGTAAACTAGTTATATATATTGTTTTTTAATATTTTTTTTTATGAAGGAATAATATAATAATGGCAAATCACAAATTTTAAATTCTTTGTAATTATTACTAGGTATTATTTTGTATAATTGTTTTTTATTATGCAATTGTAATAAATGAACGTTTTAAACGTTAAAAATAACGTCAAATATATTTCAAATGTTATAATTAATAATGGTACAAAACAAATTTTAATGTAATTTATATTTTTAAACAATAAAAATGCTCATTTATTGAAATTCTCTGTTTGTTCTGTAATAAACTAGATGGCGCCTTAGGTTTGTTTTCCATTTCAATTATTTTATACAATAGAAAAAATTATCATACTCAAAAACAATCTTAGTATTTAAATACACTATTTATTTATTTAGGTTCACATACAACTTTTGCATTTTACATGCTACTTAATCAATAACACAAAAAATAATTTTGCCTAATGTAAAAGTCTTTTACAGGCGAACACCACATGCACTATTATAATATTTAATAATTATTGAACAATGACAATAACAATATCTGAATAATAAGTAGATCAAGAACTTATGTCTAAGATTTTCCTCAATAAGTTATATATCGGAATTATTGGTACTATCGGAATATAACGCGATGAAAAATTTACAGGTAAATAGTACCTACATACCTGCTTCTTTATTGCTGACGTTTCGACGGATTTCAATGATTATTTTTAACTACTAACTCTTAATAACTATTGCAGTAAGATGTTACATTATCCAATAAGATTCTTACTAAGCTGCCAGCCAGTGCAACGTTGATTTTCTTAATAAAAAGAAACATATATGGGAATATCAAATGAACAACATGAAAAACGTTTAAGAGAAAGAAACACAAATTGTAAGATATATATAATATCTCAAAATTTGTTTGTTACATTCAATATATCTTTGAAAAATGAAACTGGTAAGGTATTTAGTGTTTAACTATTGGAAAATGCCACTTTGTAAAATAATAATGTTAAAATATTGAAAATTGCTAAAACTATTTTTAATATTTAATATAAATAGAATAATCAATCAATATACATTATATACATATACATATATATACACATATATATATGTATGTATATATATATATATATATATATACACATACATATATATATGTATGTATATATATATACATACATATATATATGTATGTATATATATATACACATACATATATATATGTATGTATATATATATACACATACATATATATATGTATATATATATATATATATATATATATATATATATATATATATATATATATATATATATATTCTTGTTCTGTTTTATTGTAATGTTTTATGATATCTCCTTCTAACTTATACACAGTATAAGTTAGAAGTAAATATAGTAAGTACACTACATTTAATTAAAGATAATCATAATAATAATATAATAATACCGTAGTCATATTTTTACTAAAAATATGACTACGGTAATCGCTTACCATCAGGTGGGTATGCTTATTTGCCACCTCAGTGGTATAGAACAAAATACATACAATTTGGTGCCATCTAATTTGTTACAGCTCTTAGTGTTACCATAAATTGGTATATTTTTAACAATAAAACAACACACTCCAAATAAAGATTTTATATTGAAATCAATAAATATTTTTATAAAATAAAATTGGTCAATATTATTAAAATTGATACGTGTATCACAAAGCCGAGACTCCTTTAAGGGCCTCCTATTAAATATATAAGAATATAACATTAACCTTGTTTGAATTGAAGCATATGGCGTTCTATTGTCTCTGCCTACCCTAATAGGAGACAGGCGTGACAGATAAGTTAATGGATCAAGATGACATATTCCATTTTCATATTTTTTCTATTCTATAAATGGAGGTGGTGTAATATATATATATATATATATATATATATATATATATATATATATATATATACTTATAGTAGTAATCCCTGCAGATTTTAATAATTCCTTTTTAGAATCGAATAAAAGCCATCCCATGTTGGTCCCATATTATTGTGACTACTTAAGTTGAATACACAGATACACGTGTCTACTTGTAGACACATGTTCTGTGTATCGTGTCTAATGTGTCTACGAAATAAATCGTTACTCATCGGTCTGTTTTGTCACGATTGAGATTGTTATATTTTTTTGCGAAGCATTAGTTTTTTCGCTGTTATGCTTGCTGAATAATGAAATTTGTCTAAAACGATATTACAAAGTGGACAAATCTAATTATTGTTTGGAATGAAAAAATAAGAAAATAATAATTAAGCCGATATTAAAAATCCTTTCATGTATAGAAAGTTGCATTGTAAGCGAATAACATTAGCTGTATTTAAAAAACTCGTACGAAGTCGGAGTGGGCTGCTAGTCTTGTTTATTTTTCCATCTGAACGCCCTTCCCTTTCCACTGTTCCTCTAGTTTCACATCGCATTCCAAATCTCTTAAAGCGGATTTTATATCGAAACCAAAGTCGCCGCTGAACTTTTTGTACGCATCGTTGAGAAGCTCTTCGACACCGAGCTCGTGGAATTTGCAGTTCTCGTCGCGGTACCTGGCCACCATGTTGCGGATGGCCCAGCAAGCGTTTTTCTGTAAAATATTTATGTTTGATTGGGAGTAATATTAATGCAATCGTTAATAAATGCTTTAGGGGGGAAAGGGATTGTTAGTAATGGAGACTAAGAATCCCATTGCTAACAATATACCCAACCAGGTCGACCTGCTCGCGGTTCCCCCTGGAAACTATCATGGTTAATTCCAGATAAATTTATCATGATGGGCTAACTGGCCTGTTTTCATTCTCATCTATCACCCTTCATTGGTGCTCCGCCAGCGTATCCCGTTAGCGCAGGCGGGGTTACCATACCATTTTCATCCAATAAAAAATGCTTTAAATTGTAGAATATTAAATCTCATTATCAAATCAGAGATAATTGTCCATTGCTGAACATATACCTCCTCCCATAAGAGGAGTCTTGCCAGTAGTTGCCACACTTGGCAGGCGGGCTGGCAATTGCACTTGCCTCAACCTTTGGTGATGTTTTCTCGACCATTAAGTTCCCTTAGTCGCCTATTACGACATCCATAGGAAAGAAAGGGGTGGCCTAATCTATGCCGGGACCACACATCGATCTAAATAAATTTCATGAGACATTACACAGTGCTAAACTATTCGTAAGCTGAGACAAATTGTACGTTATACTAAAAGTCTATGGTTTGAATAGTGGTTTTTTGTATAGGCAGGACAATTGATACAGAATACTTATTATTCATTTTTTTTTGTAAATATATAAAATATTATATACACAGATAAGACCAATATAAATATCAATAGGAATGTTTGTATTGTATGGGGATCGAACCCACGATCATTGGTAATTACGGCGATATGCCAAACCGCTATACCAACACGGCCATCTGGGGGAGAGGGATTGTTAGCAATGGAGTTTGACAGCCCCATTGCTAGCAATATACCTTATTAGGTCGACCTCCACGTGGTTCCTCCTGGAAACCATCGTGAACAATTCTTGTTGAATTCGTCACGATGGGCTAACTGACCTGCTTCATCCTCACCTATCATCCTTTACTGGTGCCCCGCCTGTGTATACCGATAGCGCGGGTGGGGTTACCATTCCATTATCATCCATTAAAAAAAAAACGACCGTCTAGAATCACACGTAATTAACGTACCTTATTTGCGAGTATTCGAAAATAGTTTGAACTACGGTGTTACCTGCACAGTGGCGTCATCTGGATGATTCTTCATAGCGGACACCACGGCGTCGGCGGCGCCGCACGAGAAAAACGTAATTGCGTGCGGCGCCTCGCGTAGCGTGAGAGACGAAATGCATTTCAGTGCCAGTGCAGCCGTCTTAGCATTGTTCTGGGCATAAATATACATATATATATATGTACGTGTATATGTCCACTTCCCCATAAGGGGAATTTTGCCCAGTAGTTGCAGGCGGAATTGGCAACCGCGGTTAATAAATAATAATAATAATTGCATTATACAAAATAGTAACACAATTGTGAGTACTGCTAAAATGCCTATGCCTAGCACGAGTACTACTTCCTATAGGACAGGCTCAGCCTAGTGTAGGAGGCAATTATAAAATCTGTGCCAATACAAACATACTTTGTTAAATAAATATATTTTATATCTTATGTGCATGGTACTGCTCATGTCTATAGGCCACGGTTACCACTTTTCATCGGGTGGGCCGTCAGCTTGTTTGCCATTCTAAGTTGTATAAAAAAAATTTCATAGAGAATCTAGGAATTTTCCAATCTATCAGTGGAAATGTCTATATTGTCGTAAAGGGTGAGCATATCTCAATCAAGTGTGATAACGCACAATTCGTGGGTGCGTGAGTAGCATGCCTCGTGTCTCTTATGGGAATTGAGCCGACCAACATTCACTTACCCCATGCCGATACAGTATAGAAACCACAATTGGCGCTATATCCACTTGCATCAGTTTTCTTTTAACATTGTCGTTACCAGCCAACGCTGTTATTCTGTTGAAATTAGATATTTTTTTTAAAAACAGCAATAAATATGTGTGTATATATATAATAGTATATTGTATTGTAAAATCTTTATTGTACATAACTCAGATTAAACACTGGTAAATGATTTAATATACAATTATAAGTGTATATATAATGAGTAGGCATATATATTTACATTATTACATATATCACATCTCCATATTTTAGAAATAATAGAATTTCCATCGTGCCTCCGATCAAACTGTTTATAATTACTCCTCTCCATCCAAAGGTTGCCTGGAAGAGATCGCTTCTAGCGATATGGTCGCCCATTGTTTTCTCATTGTGATTATTTCTTGTAATTGTTTATATCTATAATAAGTTTACTATTGTAATCTTTTGGAGGAAACAATAGAGTATCTATCCTATCTATCTAAAATAAAATCGTGTATTTATTGTATTCCTGTTTCGATTATAAGGATGGTATAGGATATGGCAGTAAAATTAGGTACAACATAAAAAAAAAATTAGACTATTAGACAAAAGTCTTTTAGAAATAAGTTCACCCTTGCTTACATTGTTCACACAGGAAATTCTTAACCCTCCTCATTACGCGAAGCAACGAACTATTACGTAATGGAGAATATCAATTTATGAATTGACCTATTTATTTGTTGCTATAAACAAACTTGTTGGTATGGCAACACAGAATGTTTTTTCAATACACATATAAATTTAAAAACTCAATTACATGAATTAAACTTACATATTATTTCAAATATTAAACCGACAGATTTGAAATATGACGACTGTCCAAAATGGCGATAATTTATCATTCGGTGATAAAAATCATGGTTTATCAACTGTACAAAATTGGCACGAGCACAACCGACGTGTTCTGAAAGGTGATATAATTGGTATCACCGATGATAACACGTCTATCACCAAAAACTGCATAGTGAAGGTGAATCAAACGTCATGCGAAGACTTTGAGGACAGTACTGATCAACTGAGGCACAGAGCTAGACATATTAACTACTGGAAAGCGGAACTAGAAAGAGCTGTAAGAGATATCGACGCTGAGATATCGATTCTAGAATCACAAAGGCAACAAGTTAAAAACGCTATGGATACACTGAATATACCTGAGTATATAACAAAGGAATGCCTTGATTTAAGACGAAACAGGATGCAATCCGATTTAGTTTACGATGAACCACAAGAGGAACTATTTACTGAGTCAGCATTGATAGAAAACGTTAAGAGATTACACAGAGAAATGCTGAGAGACATCGAGTATCAGCTGAAGATGAATGCTGCCGCGAAATGTGCTCTCGAAAGGGATTGGAGCAATAAATACTTGGCTTTCAAATACGAGAGTGAGAATGCTGATTTGGAAACGAAATCTATTAACGTAAAGGACTCAGCAGGAGCAACTAGACTGTCTGAAGGTCAATCCAACGTTGAATCTTGGGAACAGTACACTATAAATGCACTGGAGCAATTTAAAAGCGCCATTGATAAATCTAAAGCGCTGAGGAGCAAAGTGGAAGCGATACTCATAAATAGTGCTAGAGATTTGAGATCCCAAGATATTAGAGTGAACAAAGCGTTGAGTGAACGTATAGCTCGCACGGAGCAAGTGAAAATTGAATTGGAGAATCAGCTACGTTTAACGCTGAGTAAAATAGTGGAGACGGAGAATATATTGGAGACATTACACGAAGAAATTATGAAGGTAAAGCAACGTATACAAGTGGCACAGACGAGGCTGAACACTAAAAACTGCAGGCCCAATGTCGAGAACTGTAGAGAAGGATCCCTGGTAGGACTGATTGAAGAAGTGAGAGACTTGAATGACAGCATGAGTCTTCTCCAAAAGAGGTCGTTGGAAACGGAGAAGTTGAGAGCGGATTTAATTCACGAGAGATCCATTTTGGAGAACGAAATAATAGTAAAAAAGAAGACGTTACATATTGATGATGAGAGGTGCCTATTTCTAAGATCTCACTTTCAATCTGCCGAGAAACTTTGCGGTTTTTAAGGTTGCCATCCAAACATTGCTTTAGCGTATAAGTGTAACCATTGTTGTTTTTGTGTCACTTTCTATTTTTTACAAATATAGTTGAAAAAAATAAATTAAATATTACAATAACTAAAGTTCAAATGAAAGTAAAGTTTCATTAGACATTTATTAGCAACTAGCTGTTGGCCACGATTTCGTCCGTGTTTCCGTCGTTTTTCGTAAAATAGGTAGCCTATGTCTTTCCTCACAGTTCAGTGGTTTTGATGTAACAGACACATTTCCCTTCACTGCTCTGCTCCTATAGATCGTAGCGTGATGAAAAGTGTACTTTAACCTGTCCAGGAGTATGAAGGATATTTGTACCACGTTTCGTTAAAATCTGTCGAGTAGTTTTTGTTTCTATAACGAACATACAGACAGACAGACAAAAATTTTACTGATTGCATTTTTGGCATCAGTATCGATCACAAATCACCCTCTGATAGTTATTTTGGAAATATAACAGAATTGACCTCCCTACAGATCTATTATAAGTACAGATTAGAAGTATTAGATTTTTAGGAATAAATTCATATGTATGGAGGATACATTTTTTTTAGAATCTCCTTCCTCCCTCTCGTGCTTGTGTGAGTGCATGTGTGCGTGCGTGCGTGTGTGCGTGAGCATTTGAAACTTACAGCTTACAAGCTTGCTGCATTATGTCTTCACGGTTGTGTTTGAGTAGAATGGTCAACAATAAAGCACATATGCCAGCGTCAGCCACCATAGAGCAAAATTCGTTTCGAACAAGTAAGGACGCGATGGTTTTAAGACATTCGGCCACTTTATCTTCATCCAAATTATCTGAAAAATATAACGCAATAGTTCTTATGTATTTATTTAATAATGTGTTCGAATAGAACTAAATAAAAATGGAAACAAACGAATAATTGATCCGATTATAAAAGTCTGCTGATGTAAGATAGTAGTACAAATGATAAGAATTAATTTATTATTTACATTACTTACAGCACACCAATTACAATAAAAAAACATACACAATAAAAGAGATAAAAGAATGAAAATAAAAAAGCAACAAAAAAAAATATATAAACCAACAATTTCCTTTCTTTCCTTTCCTTCACGCTTGTGCCATACATCGCACGCTCGCACGCACGCACGCACGCACGCACGCACGCATGCACGCACACACACACACACACACACACACACAAACACACATATATGTGTGTGTGTTTTAAAAAGAAATCTAGTGTTGCAGGCATCAATAACCTACAGCAACCATTTACCATCAGACAGGCTGTAAGCTTACTTGTCATTTTCATGGTATAACAAAATCGATATGTAATGAAATATGTATATATACATACATATATAGCTTATTGATGCCTGCAACACTAGATTTATTTTTAAACTGAAGTGTTTCTGTAATAATTTCAGCATATTTGGTTATCATTAAATCATTAAATTCCTTGGGAACAGCAAAAAAACTAGCATTAAATAATAATTAAAATAAAAAAGTACCATTTCCTTAGTAAGTATACCTTTTAAATAATCTGTGATGGGCAACACCAGTTTAATGGCGAGTTCTTTCGCATGCTCATGTGCTTTGCCGAATTCAACTCTAACGTCATCGTCCAAGTTGAATTTTCGAGCGACTTGCATAACCGCTACGGCTAGCTGAAATTTTTTTTTTTTTTATTAAATAAATACTCTCTGGACACATTGCTCAACGAAATCTAATCTCGAACTACGCACTACACAGAGCTTGCAGTATTGTCTGATAGACATATTTAAATACTATTTCTTAAATACAATGCTCACAAAGAGTCGACTTTGACCTTCTATCTATCTATCCTATTTAAGAGATGCGCACTTGTCGGTGGAGCTCTTGCCACTCACTACGATTTTCAGCGAGTCTCCTCACCTTTTGATACGACACGACACCAACTCCTTCCTTGATCTTCCTGATGTAACTATGTCTCGGTCCCTCTCTACCCCTCCTTCCTTCTATTATAATGTTCATAAGTTCGTCGTGTCGTATCAAGTGTCCCAACATTTTTTCCCTTCTGTCCTCAATAGTTCTAATAATTTGTCTCTTTTCCTTAACCCTAAGCAGGACCTCCTCATTGCTAATTCGATCCCTCCAGCTAACTCTCTCCATCCTTCTCCAGCTTTGACCTTAGTTTATTTTTTTTAATAACGCATTAATTATAACAGTAACATGATTAATCTGACAAACTCGTTTCCTACTGCCACCTACCGAATTAATTTTTTTTTAATGAAAATAAAAAATATCCTATCTCTTAAATTAGAAAATACACACATAATTTCAACAAAATCAGTCGACAAAAATTAGCTTAAATTGACATCACTTTACGGAATTTTTACAAACTTTTAATTAAAATTTTTATGTTAGTTACTTTAGTTAAAATTAAATTAAGTTTAAATTAAAACCACTTCTCGACATCAGATTGAATTGAATAAAATTAGCAATTATGTATAATAAATTACTCAATATAAATAATATACTCAACATTGTAGTATTTACAAAATGGCCGCCGTTACAAGATGGCGGATCATGTATTTCAACCACCTTAATATTGGTATTGAAGAGTAAAAAAAACGGTAAAGTTAGTAACATCAAGCTTAATTCATTATGACCAGCATTTCGAGATAACAGATTGGATTATAATAAGAAAATGCCGTGTGGTCCCGGCATAGAATGGGCCACCGCTTCCTCTCCCGTGGGTGTCGTAAGAGGCGACTAAGAGAACTAAATAAATAATAAATAAATAAGAGGGACTCTGCTGCCTATCCGTAGAGCATTAAGTACCTTTAGTCGCCTCCTACGGCACCCGGGAAAGGAACGGGTGGTCCATTCTATACAGGGACCGCACTGCACTATTAAATTAATAAAATATACATACATACATATCAGTCACGCCTGTCTCCCATTAGGGTAGGCAGAAACAATGAAACGCCAAATGCTTCGATTGAAACAAACCTCTAAATAAAATGTTACCTTAATATTGTTCTTTTGTTTAAGAAGCAACTGTAGATTGTCCGCTATCTTCTTTGCAAACAATCTTTGTCTGTTCATCTCGTGTTTTGTACAACAGTTGGACGTCCACTTGAGCGTCGCTATTAATATGTCGCCGTTTTTTACGTTATCTAACAAACTGATATACAAAATTTTGATTAGTTATAGATATAATCCTTAATCTAATATATAAAATTCTCGTGTCGCGGTGTTTGTTACCAAACTCCTCCGAAACGGCTTCACCGATTTTAATGAAATTTTGTGTGCATATTGGGTAGGTCTGAGAATCGGCCAACATCTATTTTTCATACCTCTCAATGATAAGGGTGACTCACCCCCAAATTTTTTTTTATTTTTTGTGACAATTTTTTATTTTGATTTAGCATTGAAAAATACACACAAATTAAAATTTTAACGGTTTTACGATCAACCCCTGTTTTTTAATCGCGATTTTTATATGCCACAATAGGCTTGCAAGATGACAATCGAATATAATAATTGTAGTAGGATAAATTTTCAAGTATAATTCTCGAAATAACATATATGGTAAAACAACGTATGCCGAGTCAGCTACTAGTATTATAAATATGAACGTGAGTTTGTTTGTTACGTTTTTTATATACTATATAAGATAGTGAAGGGCACTTTAAGGCTACTTTTTATCCCGGTCACGCGGACGAAGCCGCGGGTAAAAGCTAGTGTAGGAGATATTTAGGAAAAATTTACATGACATATATTAATAAGATCGACAGGAGCCATTTCTGTTTTTTTCTTTTCTTTATTGTTGCAATTGTCTGTATGTTTGTCTTGGTATTATGTAAAATTTATTGCATCAAATTGGTTACGGTTTTTACAGTTGAAACTGACATATTACACAGGGTACTGTGATAGACGGTAATCTAATCCCGTTTCGCTTACGATCACCACGCTGTTATTATTCTTATTATTTAGTCATTAGCTGTCCACTAAATATAGGCCTCCCCTAAAAGGGGGGCCATGTTTGGCAGGCGGCTTGGCAATAGCACAATAATGGAATGGTAACCCCGCCTGCGCTAACAGTATACGCTGGCGAGGCACCAGTGAAGGGTGATCGATGAGGATGAAAACAGGCCAGTTAGCCCATCATGATGAATTCATCAGGAATTAATCATGATAGTTTCCAGGGGGAACCGCGAGGAGGTCGATCTGGTTGGATATATTGCTAGCAATGGGATTCTTAGTCTCCATTACTAACAATCCCTTTCCCCCCAGATAACGGCAGTTAGACGTTATGTTTTAAGAGGGACGCTGCTGCCCGTCCCTCAACCGTTCTTTTATTCGCCTCTTACGACACCTACGGGAAAGGAAGGGGTGGCCCATTCTACGCCGGGACCACACGGCCATACATAATTTTACAGTCGTAGCATATCAGTATTGTATCAGTTATATTAGTGTCAGCTGATAACAGTATCAATATTATCACTGCATTATATTAATAGGGGAATCCCCTTTGAGTTAATAATGTTGCAATCCTTGAGACCTATCTGTTATAATTTTTTTTTTAGTAGCAACAAAGTGCAAAGGAACTCTTATGGCGCATCTTTGTCTGTTACAACGTTATATATATCTTGGCAACTACTAACAATATGGATTTGAAATTTGGAATAATTTTACACATCATTAATAATAATAATAATAAATAAATAGATTTATTTTCTCTTCACAATTCATCACAGTGAGATACAACGAGACATGCTTATATTAAAGTAATCAAATTATAAATACAATTGTGAGAGACTGGTGCCTGAGATAGGTATAAGAATACCTGTATTACAGCTCACCAGTCATTGTATTACAGGTCATTGCAATAGATGTAACAGAATATTTTTTTTTTCCTAGAGATTAACAAGAGGAAACTCTTAAATGAAAAGAGAGAGACTAGAGGTTCCAAAATGGATTTTAAAAATTAAAAAAATGACCTACTAGTCTATGTGGGGTGTCATATGAGAGGGTTTTATTTGTATACTGACTGATTTAATGATGACGATGATGACATTATTTTTTCTTAAATATCTCCCATGTATAGACATTGTTCAATTACTTGTACACTTTTATTATATTTAGTAATATTATACAAGCAAAAAAATTAATTAGACCTGCGTATACAAAAAAGACGATCTAAGAATTCTGAACAGTAGAGGGCGACACCTCCACACATGTAGTAGCAGTAATAAATATATATATATATATATATATATATATATATATATATATATATATATATATATATAGGTTATTTTAATTATTATTATTTTTTATCTAATTTATGTTGAGGCTTTAATACTGGTCGAGTGACTATGCCAGACTCATAGAGAATGTCTGAATACTAGATTTGTCGTGTCAATTCGTCAGGGTAAAGGTGTTACCTTACATATTAGTTATTTTACCTTTTAATTAAATCAATTCCCCTAGCATCGAGCAAGTCTGGTTGTGTATCCATCAAGGAAGTGAGTGTATTTAGAACGCTTATAATAAATCTACCACTGGTCTCATTCTCATTCTGTAGATAGACCTTCAGTCTTGCTTCTAGGAAATCTAATAATATTGTGTATGCACCCTCTTTGCCAGCTTTTACTCTGTGCGCGATGTCTTTGTTGCATTCTGTCTGGAAAACAATTTTTTTTTTTATTTAATGACTTTATTTTTTAATTATTACCCAAGAAAATTTTTATACAAAATTTGTCTGGTCGAGTACCTCTGCCCCAGTCATGTTTCTGAAATGAAGCAGTTGAATTTGCATGGCCATATTCCGATTTGAGGTTTTTTTTAATGGATGATAATGGAATGATAACCTTGCCTGCGCTATCAGTAAACACTGGCGGGGCACCAGTGAGAGATGATTAGTGAAGATGAAAAGGCAGGTCAGTTAGCCCATCGTGACAAATTCAACGATAAATTAGTCACGATGGTTTCTAGGGGGAACCGCGTGCAGGTCGACCTGATAGGGTATATTGATAGCAATAGAGACTAACCTCCCATTACTAATAATCCCTTTCCCCGGTTTGAGGATATGGTAATGAAATTACAAGGTCCTGAGGAATAACACCTTAGTCCTAAGTCCTTAGAACTGGCAACACATGGGGGGTATCATGGGCGACAACAGTATACCCTGTTGTGTCCTTGGTACTGTTCATATTGATTGGCAATGGTTACCACTTTGCATTAGGTGAGCCATCAGCTTGTTGGCCAATTCTAAGTTAAAAAAAGGACTTGGTAGTAGTATTTTTTACCAGAGGGAGACTTTGTACAAAAGTCGAATGCTTGGGTACCTCTGTCTCATTCGTGTTTCTACCGTGAAGCAATTGTGTTTGCATGTCTGTGTTTCAGTTTGATCGGGTGGGATATGGTGTGAATTTACAAGGTACAGAAGAATAACACCTGAGTCCTCAGGAATGGCAACGTATGGGGGGTATCATGGGCGAAACACTATACTCTGTTATGTCCTTGGTACTGCTCGTGTCTATAGGCGATGGTTACCACTTTCCATCAGGTGGACTATCAGCTTGTTTGCCATTCTAAGTTGTATAAAAAAATAAATAAAAAAAAAAGTATAGAGATGTAACACACTACATAGAGATTTAGGCGGTCTTATTGCTAAGCAATCTCTTTCAGACTATATACCCTTATACAGAATGTATACCAGAAATATACCCTTATTTTAATTAATAAGTACCTTAAGTGCAGCCAGTTCTTGGAGAACCATTTGATCATCATATTCTGGATTGCTGCAGAGATCTCGTAATTTGTTTACAGTTGCAGTCACTACATGTTCTTCACCAGACCCAAGAACCATATCTTTTATTATGTTTGATAAGTCAACACCCTGAAAAATATAACATAAAACTAGTTTAACTACCTACATATGTGTGACTTCCTCCATGTTGTTAAAATATATTAATTATTTAACCGAGATAAAAAGTAGCCTGTATCTTATTCCATCTAAAATGCTACGAGCATTGTTACATATTTTCTTGCCTTCCCAATTGCATTTCAATTAAATATTAAAAGAATTTGAGTACTCAAGAATTTGGTACTAAAAGAATTTGAGAATCCTTTATTTTATCAACTGATGTAGATTACAAAAAGTGTGAGACAAGAGATGTCATAAAACAAACATTAATAATGACAATACTAGAGATCTTTTAAGAAGCCCATGAAGGTCATGAGCTTTGTAAACGATCCTTTTCTGAACTACTTATAATTTATGACAAGCACACTAAATTTTATGAAGTTTGGTAGAGCCAAGAGGTAACAAACAAAATGCTTAAACACATATACAGATATCCCTTGATAGATTGGCATAGAAATGTGTTTAAGTGTGGCTTGCTAGTACAAATAATAGAATTTTCTGTTGCATATTAATACAGATTCATTACTGACTAGCCTTTCCACCCGACTCCACATAGGTAAATAGAATTTGCGAAAATAATATATAACCTAAGGTTACGAAGGTGAAGGAAGTTACTGATAATGTAGCTTTAGAATGAATTTTTTAAATTGGGTTGAGTAGTTTTTGAGTTTCTTCATTACAAACAATTTTTTTACTTTTTGTAATATTAAGTGAGAAGAGTAAGATAAAGATAATGTGTTAAAAATATATCTATGAATAGGGGCATAGTACACCAGTGTGGGTAAGTAGTTATACCTCAGATAGTCTATTATGTACACCATAAAACCATAAAGCTTATGATTTATTCTATTTGTAACATATAAATTATATATTACTGTATTTAATAGATAAATAAATAAAACAGGTAAACGGGAACCTTAACAATAACAAGAATAAATGAGTCATTATATCTGTTTACATTCTTTTTTATTTGTAAATTTTTCTTAATAAAAAAGCAGCTGTGTTTCTTGTCCATTCAGTCTTTCAGCTAAAATTGTATACAGAACTAGATAATGATTGATAAAAAAATTACCATTAAATAATGCTTATGATTAGGTTTACTTGATAAAAAATATTTTTCTTTATTTATTTAATAAAAAAATCTGTAAATGCAAACAAGCTGTTGGTGCACCATGTGGAAAGAAGTAAGAATATAGTATGATATCTATGGTATCCTCAGGGTATCCACTGACTGAAAATGCATTTAATTTAAGAGACCAGGCCTCTCGTAGAGAATAATCTTACATATGCTAATGGTCATTGTTGAGGATTGTGTTATTTGAATAGATATTTTAGCTCTGTATTAACTATAATAGGAAAGCATAAAAACAAAAATTCAGATGTAAAGAATTTCACTGAAGTCAACTGATGAAGGAACTAGTCTTCAATAAAAAATTACAAAGATACTTAATGATACTTTCAAAACTTCATTATGATTTTGGAATAGATAAATGCTAAAGTTCTCTGGTTATATTTTGATTCAAGAAATTAGTTTTTACCTGAGCTTGAAATTGTGCTATCGCCTCCTTTACAGCTTCTTCGGGGGACATATCGAATTCTTCGATATTCTCCTTAACCACATCATCGTAAGTCTCTTGAGTTATAACTCGTACCATTTTTTAAATATGGAATTTATCTTTGTTAATTTTATATGTGATAATTATATTAATTAATTAATAAATATTAAAAATAAAAACACGCGGTTTAAATAGCTTTGAAATTTATAAATGAAATCTTATAAATTGAATCATTTTGTTTACCATAAGTCAATGTCAACAAATGTCAGCATCAACAAGACGTAAAACATAGATACCGCGCACAGATAACAAATTATATAATCTGTCAATTATAATTATTAAAGTCAAATCGTCGTATTTAAAAATGTACAACTTAGTTTTAAAAATAATAAAGTTCTGAAAGTAAGTAAATATTTTCTGTTTTATTAATTTGGTAAATCTGTCTTATTTTTCCATTATCTCTTTCATAATAATAATAATAATTTAAAGATTCCCTCGTTTTTGGTATATACCTAGGAAACGCAGCTGATGTTTGACAATGACATTAAAGTGCGTTTTGAAGCTTAAAATCCTGCCTAATGTTCGTTCATTTATCACATTCGCACAGACTATCTAATATTTATTAACGTTTTGTTATATAGTGCATTAGTAAATTAAATAATTAATTTGGTTACTTAATTATTGTGTAATAAAAAATTAAAATATTTGTGTACACGTTAATATTTAATGTAAGAAATTAATGCGATTTTTATCATTCGTTTCAGTCTAAAATGTTTTGAACGTGACACAGATGACGCATCATTCACTCTTTATGGCGATTATTGCCAATTGCTGTGAATAATATAAGTTTTTTGTGCGTAATTCGAGTAAATAATTGCAATAAAGTTATTTTTCCTAGATTCTTAAGTAGTTCTTTATATTTAAAATGAGTTTCCTGGGGAAATTATTCGGCGGGAAGAAGGAAGAAAAGGGTCCAACGACCCATGAAGCAATCCAAAAATTACGTGAGACAGAAGAATTGTTGGTAAAGAAACAGGAATTCCTCGAGAGGAAGATTGATGTTGAGATACAGACGGCTAGGAAACATGGAACAAAGAATAAGAGAGGTATATAAATGATAATTACTTTTACAACACGTAATAGGGATTTCAATTGGTGTTTTGAAACGTTAATATTCGTATTGTGTTTTTGTTTTAATGACCTTGTTAATAAACGTATATGAGTACATCAGTAAATTAATTTGTTACAAGGTGTAGTTTTAGGGTCTCAAATAAGGGTTTAAATGTTCTAAGGCAACTGACTGCTTTTTTCAAAAACTACCATTTTAATGATGTAATTTCTTTAGTACGTTTAGTTATTTTAAATTTTATTTTTCTAGTGATATATCAAGTTTGCCCTTTTTGATATTGCAGTATTTAGTTGCTTATTAAAAAATCTAATCCTAACTTATGGAGAGCTGGAATAAATACTCTAATATTCACTTGGGACTCAAATTATTTATTTCATTGATGTTGATTAAAATTGTTGTCAATTATTCTATCAATTAGGTATTTATATATATTTTTCTATTAAACATTAATTATTTAAAATTTTTACTTACTGTGGTTGTGAGTTTAAATCTTGCATAATACAAATGTTTCTATCATTGATTTTATTTGTAATATCCATTGTTAGAATTTCTTATTTGTTTTTAAAAAACTAAAAAATATAATTAGTGTGACTAGTTGTTTTGTACACACAATATAAACTGTTTAAAAGCAGAGAGCATTGAATAATAACTCCAGGGCTCTTTATCTATTCTAGCTGCTATTGCTGCTCTCAAGCGCAAGAAGCGGTATGAGAAACAGCTCACACAGATCGACGGTACACTCACACAAATCGAAGCCCAAAGAGAAGCATTGGAGGGGGCAACTACCAATGCACAGGTTCTGAACACCATGCGAGATGCTGCAAATGCTATGAAATTGGCACACAAAGATATGTGAGTGGTTTCTATTTTGATTATTTTATATAACAAAGGCATTTGCTTTTTATACATATAGCTAGTTATTTATTATATATTATTAATATTATGACATAAACAGTTACAATTTTACTTAATACTTCATTGAAATATTTTCCAAGATAAACAACAATACTCAAATGATAACTAGTAATTGATTAGAATTGAAAAAAATCTTGTTTTATAGGACACAAAATTATATAAAAATTAATTCAATTTTTTTTTGCAATTATGCAAGTGCAACATATGGTTTAGGACCTATCTTTTTGATTCTGATCCCCTTCTCGCCAACTCATCAGCCCTTTCATTACCTTTAATCCCTATATGTCCAGGGACTCATACCAAACTAATTACTATTTAGGGTTAACCCTAAATTCACCTTTGTTGATACAAGTGCTTTGATAGTCATTTGACTGTCACTTAAAATATAGATATTCTTGTTTTTTTACAGTATTATTTAGATTCATTGCCGCACAGGTGGCGCATACATTTCTGTTTGGGAAACAGTAGAGTATTTCCCTGTGCTTTGACTTTTTTTTTTTCACTTGAAAAGATTCCAGCTTCAGTAACGTCTTGCCATTTTGGAGCCATCTGTATACCAATATAGGTCCTTTAGAGATGGCAGGCCATGTTCCCACTCTTCTCTCTGTGCTATATGAACTTTAAAGTTCTTTTTAAAGATGTATTTTGGTGTTATTTTGTCACACCTCATGTCCATATGTCCAAGTCTTTATCGACCTCCATTTTTGTGTGCTTGTATAAAGCTATGTGTAACTACGTAAATCTATTAATCATATAAATTCGTCCTTGTCTTTATTCCAGTGACGTGGACAAGGTTCACGACATTATGGACGACATCGCCGAGCAGCACGACATCTCGCGCGAGATCACCGACGCGATCAGCAACAACGTGGCCTTTTCCAACGACGTCGACGAGGATGAGCTCGAAAAGGAACTTGAGGAGTTGGAACAGGTACGTCATTAGCTATTAAATGGATTATTTTTGTTACAAGATCATGGACTGGTTTTTTTAGTGGTTCATAATGTAATGGTAACCCCGCCTGCGCTAATGACATACGCTGGCGGAGCGCTAGTGAGAGATGATTGGTGAGGATGAAGCAGATTAGTTGGCCCATTGTTATGAACTTAACATAAATGAATCATAATGACTTCCAGGGGTAACCAGTTGAGGTCGACCTAAGAGGATATATTGCTAGCAATAGGATTGCTAATCTTCATTACTAATGATCCCTTTTTACTCTAGTCATGGACTGGTAACCCCATCTGCGCTATTGGTGAATGTGAATGTGAAAAAGACTCCATTTTCCGCGCTTAGCCTCTCACTTGGCCATTGTGCGTATGAGTCGTGGCTAGTGCAGCCAACCTAGCTCCGCCCAGAAGCGCAGAAGCTTCCTGGGTTCTTCACAGGCCTCACGGAGCGACCTCACCGTTCCGAGGATTTCTAAACGTTGATGGGCCACAGCCTAACATTCCAGGATTACGTGAGCAGCCGTTTCTTCGGCGTCGAAACAGCCTCGACATAGAGGGTTGTCTGTGGCTCCTATTGTGTATAGATGTTTGTTTAATGGACAATGACCCGTTATTGTCCCTATCATTATTTAGAGTTTTTTTTCTATCTAGATGTAATGTGCTATTGGTATATCAGTGTGTGGGGATAGGTGTAGATTAAGGTTGGGTCAGTTGCGGGCGGCGATACCATTCCACCATCACTTATTAAAAAAAAGAACTAGTCCAACAAATCCATTTTTGTAATTTTCTGGTATGTTTCTTCTAGTACTTATGAATGATATTGTTATCCACAGGAGGATCTCGACAAAGAGATGCTGGGCATCAACGTCCCAACAGACAAGTTACCAGATGTGCCCACATCAGAGCTTGTGCATGACAAACCCAAGCCTAGTAAGGCCAAGCAGACTGGTGAGTAAAATTTGTTTGTTTCTTTCAAGGTTTTATTTAATTTGCAATGTATGTTAGTTATTTTATATAGGTCAAATATTCCAAGCTGAATTAGAACTAGTTCCTCCTAATATCTATTGAATCTAAAAAACTATACCAATGTCAAATACTCTAAGAGATTGTTATACCATATTATTGTTTTTGTTAATTAGCACGCTGTTTCCTTTAAATCGATTGTATACTATGTATAAATAGACAGTAATTTTATTATAATATTAAATCTTATCAGTGTAACAATTGCTAGGAGACCAAATAAAGATAAAATAAAAAATAAACCATTTCATTGAAATTTTAAATATACCTTTCGCTTTAGTGATAATACAATATCCATTACTCAATATTATATTTAAAATGGCTATGGTATATGTTCAAAATGGCTGCCGCCACAAGATGGCGGAATGAGTTTATTAGTCTATAATAATTTTGTCAATATTAATCACTAGTTTTTTTTTTTTAAGTAAGATATGTTTGGTTAGAATTAATAATAACCAGATAACAGATTCCGTGTATTATATTTTTTTATTTATCTTTTAATGGGGTTTCTCACAACTTGTTTAGTCTGAAATTTTATATGTTTACCTATTTCTTATTTGTTTCCCGCCAAAAATGACATTTATTACATTTACTTTCAGAGGATGACGACGATTTCAAGATGTTGGAGTCCTGGGCCACATAGGTGCGATGTGAAGTTATTTATCGAATGCTCCTCTCATGTTAAGTCATATATTGACATAAGCGAAGCGTGTTGCGTTCACACTTACTGTTATCAGATTTAATTCATGATTAAAAATAAACATATATTTTAAACGGAGATTGTAACATATTAAAAAAAATAAGTAAAGAAAGATGCTCTTTAAATAAAGGGCTCTAGAAATGTAAAAAATATTAATTAATAATTTGAATGCATAATTTCTTTTTTTTGCTTTTTAAAGTCGTAAGAAATAAGCACTGATAGCTTATTTCACAAATTATTGTTACATTTCCACACATGTAAGAAATATGAGTGGAAATGTGAATGTAATTAAAAATTTTTAAATAAAATTATTCACATTCTATATTTATATATATATATATATATATATATATATATATATATATATCACTAATCATTAAAAAATATCGAGTAATGTTCTCGTAAATTTGAAGTTTTGCACAAACATTTTTCATGCGATTTAGCCATTAAGAAAAAATTTTAAAGAGAAGAAAGCTCCCTACTAACATAATTGAATTAGAAAAGTGTGAACGCAACATGACAACAGGTTTTGTGTGAAGGTTGCCATATTACAAAAATAACAATCATTCAAAAATATAACATAAATAGATTAATACTAAAAAAAAAGTATTGGTTATATTAAAACTACAGATAGACAGACGGGACAATTTATACAGGTTAAAATTTGTCCATTATCATAGCATCCTTTCAGATTTCAGGTTTTACAAATTAGTGAATTTTTTTATACCACGATGGTGGCAAACAAACATACAGCACATCTGATGGTCAACAGTCACTGTAAACTATGGACGCCTGCAATTTTAGGTGTGTCACGTGCCCGTTACCGACTCTGAAGAATCTTTAATATACCCTTTTTGAAGAACCCCATACTGTATTCTCTATGGGAAACTATGGCAAGGAGCTCATTCCACAGTCTGAGCCTTCGCGGGAGGCAATCCCTCTAAGAGTACAGTGCGGTTGTTTTAATTTTAATAAATAGGTCGCAATTTATTCTTAGAGATATGGTAAGGTACATACTGTATTTTGCTTTTTTGACCCGTTGCTTTATGAAAAATATCAGATTTTAGGTTACATACACTCCCTGAAAAGTGATGAAAAAGACTACAGCATGGGGTTCTTCAAAAGGGGGGTAAAGAGGTTTCTTCAGGGTCGGCAATGCGCGCGTAATACCTCTGGTATTGCAGGCGTTCATAGGCTACGGTAACCGCTTACCATCAGGTGGGCCGTATGCTTGTTTGCCACCTCAGTGGTATAAAAAAAATATGCCAACCATTTCAATTTACCTGTAAATAATTTTTTTTTCATTTAACAGATCATAAAGTTAATATCAGTCGTGTGATTGTTAATTTGATAGTTTTAGAATCTCAGCTTACTATAAATAGTAGTGTGGGATGGGAGTTTTTTTGATGGGTGAAAATGGTATGGTAACCCCGCCTGCGCTAACGGGATACGCTGGCGAAGCACCAGTGAAGGGTGATAGATGAGAATGAAAACAGGCCAGTTAGCCCATCATGATGAATTCATCAGGATTGAACCATGATAGTTTCCAGGGAGAACCGCGAGGAGGTCGACCTGGTTGGGTATATTAGTAGCAATGGGATTCTCAGTCTCCATTACTAACAATCCCTTTCACCCCCGTGGGATGGGAGTTGGAAATGGGAGTTAAAACTGCCAAAATATAACACCCTAACTATTTAAAAAAAAATCTCTTAGAGGATTTATTTTCATATGGACTCTAATTATATTATATACAAATTGTATATAACCTGCAATAAATAACCGTCAGATGCGAATTACAAAATTATGAATCTTATAAATTAGCACAAAAGCAATCTCTATATTAACGTGTATAGAGGTCAAATTACTTTGAATCACGACCCGCACTAAAGATCATATTTCTGTTCAACAACTTTTACACAAAACCTCATATGTATATATAAATGTAATAATACTAATTTAGACGGCTTATGTATTCTTAAACGGTATTTATCGCCTACAAAGCACCATTATTATTATATACATTATTAGTTCAAATATTGAAAGTGATATTGATTGGGGGTTTAATTAAATTTTATATATTTTATATATATATATATATATATTTACGATTAATCACTTGGCAATTTACTAATTATTTTTTACACATGTATAGTTAATTAATTTGTAGCGAAAACATAACATGTGATTGAAAGACTCTAAAATGAACGAATGAAAACCATTGTTCCGCTCAAGGAATGATAAAACTTCATTCTTTTAATCTGTTTCGAATGATAACGTACTAAGACCGAATCTGTCAATGTCAAAATGTCATAAACCATATTAAAATCATCTTGTTTTTTTTTTCTTTTAAGTTCTGAACATAAATAGGGTTTTGCGTTTTAAATTCTATTCATATTATAAATGCGAAAGTTTTTAACGATGGACGTATGAATAATTGGATAGACGATTGTTCCTGTTTCACTCAAAAACTACTGAATGTATTCGAATGAAATTTGGTACACGGATAGGATATATCCTCATATCGTCACAGTCGTAGAATACTGACGGATCGGACAAAGATTACATATAAAGATCCGTCAGTATTCTACGACTATGACGATATAGCATATATAGTACTTTATATACTGATACACACGAGCAATGCCGCGGTATAGAGCTAGTTATAAAGTAATCTAGTGAAAGAATTACAAGTAATTATACGTGATTCCATTCCAGAATTGATCCTGGTGCGTTTTTATTCAAAAATAGGTTTGGAGAACGACGTTTTACAATTTTTACGTTGTCTGATAACAAAATTAGTTCCACTCTGTTTAAAATTGAACAAACATAGCATGGTATCGTCCGCGATTAACCTTATATTTATGGTGTTATTATTATTTTTTTTTATTCTTAGTCCTAGTTTTCTAACATAATTTTGTAAGTTCTGAATTTATTCTATTAAAAATAATTATAATTAATTACTTGTATAGTTTCCTATAAGTATGTGAAATGTATATATTTTATTTTTTATTTTTGTGCAGTACGGCTCGTAATAATGTAGTTAAGAGAACGATGGGATAATGAAAACGTAGTTAAATACATAATATACCCGATTCCATATATTGCTTGAATATATGTATATGTATCTTGGTTTAAAGCGTTATGCCAAAAGTTGAATTTTTAAAATAATTCAGCTAATATATGTAAGCATTGCTCAACTACAAAATGGGATATGCAATACGAGGTACTCAGGGCCGTATTTAGGGGAGGGCCATTCGGATACTGCTCAGAACGTCAAAATTGACTGCGTCTGAGTGTAAAAAGGGTGAATGCACCGTCTGTGCTGCGGGCATTTGCGCCTATGTCACGCCTAAAATATGTGGATTTTTTCCCGTTGTCATTGTAGTAAAATTATTGTGTTATTGTCAAGGATGGCAAGTATATTTGCCCGGAACGGCGAAATAAGTATACTTTATTTTAATAGTATTGAGTGAAAATGTAAACAATCGAACAATTGGTTTGATCATAAAACAATTTGCTGATGTCCAATAGTGGTACAAATAAAAATTGGTTAAATAAGTCCTATTGGAATAGAGGGCCTACCATGAAATGTTTTCCGAAATATCGGGCCCGAATTTGATGTTAAAAGTACATAAAAATGTTAAAATATCGGTCCTTTGTGCTATTACGATAGGATTTATGACGAACGAAATGTTCAGCTTCATTCACTGGGTCGAATTTTGACGAAATTGAGTCTGAAAATTTGGATTTTCATTTCATGGTAAACACCCATATTATAGATGCGAATCTTGTGGGTATATAAAAGAATTCCTAAAAATATTCTAGTTCGTTTTATGGACATGGAAAGATCTATTGCGCAATTAAAAAATGCTATGGTTAAGGCAGTATTACATGACAGTCGTGAAGTGTGAAAATGCTTTTAAACTTCATACGTTCAAACGTAAATTCCTTATTATGTATTTATTTCCATTTTGTAGTCGAACGATAGCCTAAAATCTGTAAAGTGGCAGTTTTATTTTCACCTGGCATCTAGTGCCTGCATTGATACGCGTACTTTTTCTTAAAGTTGTAAACAATTTTTTGAAGTTGTAATTTGTGCATATGGTACAATAAATTTACTTTATTTAAAAATTGTGTTTTATTATTCTAATGACTGTTTCCTACGGCGTAAACTGCCTGAATTATGGTAAAAAGCACCCTCTGTGTTGACCTAATATATTATGGCTCTTCTTTGTATCTAATTTCATTCAAATCTATTTTTTTTATACAACTTAGAATGGCAAACAAGCTGACGCCCACCTGTTGGAAAGTGGTAACCGTTGCCTATAGACATGAGCAGTACCATGGACATAACAGAGTATACTGTTTCACGCATGGGGGGTATCCCCATGCGTTGCCATTCCTGAGCACTAGCCCATTAAAACTTAATTGAGCAATGAATTAAAATGTATTCTGTTAGAATATAGTTGATTTTTAAATGAAAGAGGTTTCCATTTCTCTTATACATTCTGCCTCTATGTTGGCGTGCAAATGTTGGACAATTAAGCAATATAATAGGGAATATATGTACGAGGTCTGTCCGGAAAGTTCGTATAAAAGTGTTCTGGAATGCGAGAAAGAGGAGTGGGGAGGCCAGGTAAGCGCAGGACCCCTTCCTTATGTCCCTAACAATGCTTCAGTTCTGGTCTGACCGCCGTGCGGTGCGAACTGGCTTGTCACGCCATCTGTGAAGTTACCTCTTAACGAAACCCCGTCGGCATGGAGCCCGCTTCCGTTGAAGAGCAGCGCGTCGTAATCAAGTTTCTCTCGAAACTCGGCAAGAATGGCCGTGAAAGCAAAGAGTGGAAGACATCCGGGGAACCACGAACAAAAAAATCAAGAAAATCCCGCTCAAATGTCAAGACAATGTTGATTGTTTTTTTCGATGTTCGGGGGCTTGTCCATCAAGAATTCGTCCCTCCAGGCCAGACAGTTGATGGAAAATTCTACGTCGATGTGCTCAGACGCCTCAAAGCTCGTGTGGCACGAGTTCGTCCAGAATTGGCGCGAGAGGGGCGTTGGATTCTTCACCACGACAATGCCCCTGCCCACACCTCTCTTGTTGTCCGTGAGTTTTTGAGTAAAAATTCCATTACGGTGACCGAACACCCCCCTATTCGCCGGATTTGGCCCCGTGTGACTTCTTCTTGTTCCCAAAAACCAAATTGGTACTTCGGGGGCGGCATTTGGGGGACATAAATGAGATAAAAAAAGCTACGACGGGGCAGCTGAGAAACCTACAACCAGAGGACTTTCAAGAAGCCTTCTCACAGTGGAAACGGCGTTGGCACAAGTGCATTATGTCACAGGGGGAGTACTTTGAAGGGGATAAAATTGATTTACCTGAATAATTGTAAAATAAAATTTTTAAAAAACTTTTATACGTACTTTCCGGACAAACCTCGTATATGTAAATTTAAAGATAAGTTCGCCTTTGCTAACATTGTTATTAATTTATTGTTGTTGTATTATTTATATTTGTATTTACTATATTGTTGTTACTGTATGTTTTAGTGCAATAAAGAATATATATATATATATATATATATATATATATATATATATATATATATATATATATTCCACATTATATTTCCTTTCATTAGTTATATAATTAATTTATATACAGTAAACAATAATCGTCTAAATTAATAAATAACGACAATAAAAAACATACAATATTATATATTTACAAACTCATATTTTTAATATTAGTACAATTTACAATATCGATCAAAACTGGAAAGACCATAGGTGTACTTAGGGTGCAAGGCGTTAAAATTATAAAAAATTGGATTTAACGTTATATAATTTTAACGGATTTTTCCAAATTTTTGGATTTTTCCAACCCCTATACAATTTCGAATGAATGAATGAAAATATTTATTTTCCCACCCGAAAAATGATACAGATTATAAAGATTAACGATGTGTTTATTAAAAACAATCTTAGTAATAAGAAGATTTAACTTTAGTGCATTATTTGCTTACATTTACTAGTTTACTGTGTATCTATGTACTTAGTTAATTATACATTACATAGAATTAAAATTATACATAATATTTTATATAATATTATTTTCTTTTCTTTATATTCATGAGTTTGACAGATCGTTTCCTATAACGTCATCTGTCTACATGAAAGAATTCTAATTTGGAGGTAAAATCCTTTTACAACCTTCACCTAGTATATAGTAGCGCCTTGAAGTATGTACAATTGGTAATTTGCAATAATATGTATTCTACTTATGTATTCGTATTAAATAAACGCCCAGAAAGGTTATCACATTGCCGGCTTATTAGAATGCTTAGCGTTGAACAGTTTTTAACTGAACGTTGATATTAAGCGTGGGTATTATAATATATAGCAATATCTGTATTTAGTTACAATATCTATATACTCGAAGGAATAACAAATACGACAAAGTCGTGGCCATCAGCTAGTATTTTTTTTTATACAACTTAGAATGGCAACCAAGCTGACGGCCCACCTGATGGAAAGTGGTAACCGTCGCCTATAGACATGAGCAGTACCATTTACATAACAGAGTATACTGTTTCGCCCATAATACCCCCCGTATTATGGGCGAAACAGTATACTCTGTTATGTCAGGTGTTATTCCTCTGTACCCTGTAAATTCACGCCATATCCCACCCTTCAAACCGAAACACAGCCATGCAAACACAACTGCTTCACGGTTGAAACACGAATGGGACAGAGGTACCAAAGCAAACGACTTTTGTACCAGAGGGGGTAGTATATAATAATAATAACAAGAAGGATTTAATTAAAAAAAAATACGAAGATCTTTGCATAAAAACAAAGTCCTCAGGAATGGTAACACATGAGCGGTATCGCGGTGGGCCGTCAGCTTGATGGCATTCTAAGTTGCATAAATAAATCTTTGCACCCTTAGATATGTGACCTTGTAAACGTAACATGCTAAACATTGTTTAAACTTGCATAATGATTACAAAATGATTACATAGCACCGTATAAATCATGGTGCCAACCCATGATTGTCATTCAGAGGGCATCAATTGGATCTGTGAGCTGAATGTAATCCAACGACGGCAAAACACTTTCGCTTTGCGGGTGTATTCTGTTACTTGGGTTCGATATTTTTAAGACAACGAGACTATATTGTTTTTCAAATAAAACGGAACGGATAAAAAATCACATAGAATTCGTTTCGTTCACTATGAGTGATTTTATTTATTTATTCATTAGTACAAATATTTGTACATGGCGGACTTAATGCTCAACCATAGGGAAGTGTCAAAATACTCGAATGCGGTACTACTAATTATTGATATACATACACACTAAAATTACATATATAAACGAATAAATATATATAAATAACAAATATACTTACACATATATGATATATACTATATTATACACGAAATTGAGAATAATATAAAGCACTTACTGCTCAGATAAAGTAAAAAAGTGAGTGTGAACGCTTTTTTTGAAAGACAGTTTAGCCGGTAGTCTCTTAATGGCATCAGGAAGCGCGTTCCAGAGTCGTGAAGAATGTAGGAGAAAAGAGTTTGAAGCGTAATCAGTACGGTGAGAGGTGAGAAATAGTTGGAAAGTATTATTGGAACGAAGGTTACGATTGTGAGTTTCAGATAGATACTGGAATTTACTGTTAAGTAGTTCTATTCCAAGTGAATTCATCACGATGAGCTAACTGCATAATTGCTAGCAATGGGGCTATTAATTCCCATTATTGACAATCCTTTCTCCCTCCACCGTCAGGGTGTTTGCCGTTCAAAGTCTTACAAAAAACAACCCACAAAAAATTAATGTCGTGATTTTTACTAAGCAGTAATAATGCGTAACAGAATAGGTCGTCGAGTCCGTTAATAATATTCTGTAAGCAGTTCATAAATCGGGTGTCCATCTTCCTTAACGGTTCAGTCAGTCGGCGACAGGTCAGTGAAGTGTTCGACATGAAGTACTTTGTATTGGTGAGTTATATTTAGTATCCTTTAGTATATTATTAATGAAAAATAAACAGATCTCATGTCTAACGCGTCCGTGACAACACTATTGAAAATGTAAATAAAAGAAAAAATTTACCCAATTATATGACAGTCTACTAATGTCCTACAGTGGTATAAATAAACAAATGGATTTTTTTATGGGTGAAAATGGTATAGTAACCCCGCCTGCGCTAACGGTATACGCTGGCGGAGCACCAGTAAAGGGTGATAGATAAGAATGAAAACAGGCCAGTTAGCCCATCATGATGAATTCATCAGGAATTAACCATGATAGTTTCCAGGGAGAACCGCGAGGATGTCGACCTGGTTAAGTATATTGCTAGCAATGGGATTCTCAGTCTCTATTACTAACAATCCCTTTCCCCCCAAATAAATGGATTATAAGTTTCGATTTAGAGAGTATCACTGTCATGATTTTAACGAAATTTGTTCATTTATTAATAAGGTTCTTTTGAAAAAGAATTAGATGAAGGAGGAGGTTGTAAAGGATCTACAACCTACGCATTCTAATGTAATGACGAAGTGCAAATCTTTATATTCATGCTGGACATTGCAGGCCCATTACAAACTCTTATGTTATGACATTTTAAATGAAATTTTTAGGAGAAACCCAATCTTTATTATTTAAAATATTAATTTTGCACATTATATGTGCCTACCTTTTTATGCTAACCCTATAAATACTGTCTACATTCGGGTTCTCGAGGTTGACTGGAGAAATCGCTATAAGGTATAAGTCCAGCTGCGTATATTTTGGTATAACCTAATATATATATTATAAGTGAATATAAATAGCATATAAATAAATAAATTTGATTATTTTATTTGATAATTAATAAATTTGACAAAATAAACTAGTCCCTATAAGTTGTATCCGCTTCCGAGTATGACGGTTGAAGCTAACACATTTACGAAATACCATATTTATATTATTTGGTGGAATTATATTGGAGTTTTTAATACTGACTGTTGACATTGATGTTTTTAGAAAATGTATTATTTTTTAATTAATCTGTGACAGTTTCTTCTAAAATATGTCTTGTATTTTTTCACCTAATTGATATATGTTATATTTATATATATATATATATATATATATATATATATATATATATATATATATATATATATATATATATATATATATTATGGTTATGGGCCCAGGAGGTTGTGTACTAAACACAAATAAAATTTCTTTCAGATAACTCTCCTCATTATTGTACACACCACAACAGCTACCATAGACATCGAGAAGTTAAGAGAAAATGCTGCTGCGAAGGTGCAAACATTACAAGACCAAACAGCTGCAACTCTACAGAAAGTGACAGACAGTATCGACTTTGGGAAAATACTACAAATAGTGGTCCCGATAGTGCAACAGCAGCAAAAAATCTTCCAGCAGTACCAGGACCAGTTGGGAAACATCCCAGCTGTTATACAATCGCAAGGGGAGAAATTGAGGGGCTATTATCAGAAATTGCACGGCCTCACCGGTAGGGATTTAGTTCTGGCCTTTCACACCGGCGTACCGTGGCCGGCGTGGAGAAGAATGGATGATGAATGAATGAAGTCACCTAGTACCTACAATATTTTTAGTATTAATTTATACGAAGAAAGACTAATTTAAATGTAACAAATTTAATCTTTTACTCGATACCCGTTTTTTGTCCGATACGTATGCGTAGATTTATATATATTTATGTAGAAAAATCAATAAAATAGGTGTGTAAAATCAAATATTACAGATTTGAAGTTTCAGGAACGTCAAAAACATTTTCAATTTGGTGCAGTAAATTCGTGACACCGGAACAAACATACCTACAGACAGACAGAATTAAAAAAAAAATTGGCATCTATTATTTTTGTCAAGACCCCTCATTTATCGCAGTACAGTAAGATATTTTAATGTGGTCAAACTATGGTCTAAGTACTCAGGATTTTAAACCGGAATGAAGTATTTATAACATGTTAGTTGCTGGTGATATAAGTTTTTTTTATATCTTAGATAGGTATATAGGCTCGCGACCCACCTAATGGATAGTGGGAATGGATTTTTGAAAACAATTGTGTTACATTCACAGATAAATAATTTATCTTTGTGCAATGTGACAATGGTTCATATTTAGAAATCAATTTATTAAATCGTGGTAACTCGGCTTTAAATGTAAATATTTTTGTGATAGTTTAGATTACTTGTTATATTATAGAACATAAGTTAATAAAATAATTTCTTATCGACGTGTATTTTATTTACCAGAGATTTATTTACCACTTTGTACAAAAGTCGTTTGCTTGACCACCTCTGTGCAATTCGTATTTCTACCGCGAAGCAGTTGTGTTTGCATAACTGTTTCGGTTTGAAGGGTGGTATATGGCAATGAATTTACAGGGTACAGAGAAATAACACCTGAGTCCTCAGGAATGGCAACGCATGGGGAGTATCATGGGCGAAACAGTATACTCTGTTATGTCCATGGTACTGTTCATGTTTATATGCGACGGTTACTTGTTTTTACTGTGTTGTTACTCAACATACGATAACATTAAATTTTTAATAAACTATATGGAAGCAACATATATTAACGTTCCACTACAGGGCAAAAGTTTTATTTTCATAAGAGGAGCAAATTGGCAATGTATTTCCCGGTAAACAGGCGACCAGTTGTAAAACAAAAAGCCAAAATCTTGTGTAATATGAATAAGGAAATACGCCAACCCCAAATAATAGGGATAAGGGCAGGAAAATGATGATGATGAGAAGAGAAGATTGACATACTGTTACACCGCAGATTAGTTTTTAGTCCAAAATAACATCAATTGGAAATTTTAAACCATGAAAATTTAAAGAACCTTAAGAACACCTTTTTTCTGTAACGTAACTACAAATTTATGGTTTTCTCTTGTTTGAGAAAAAGAATCTTGACAGACGGAAAGACAGTTAAATAACAAAATTATCCTCTAAGGGTCCCATTTTAAAACCCAGATTGTAAATATAAAAGGTTACCTTCAGACAGTATATTTAATGAAGTTTATAATTTTTATTATAATTATTTTAAAATCTCTTTTTTACTGTTCCATTAATGAGAGTGGATTGCATTCGCTGTGTGGTCCCAGCATAGAATAGGCTACCCCTTTCTTTCCTATGGGTGTCGTAAGAGCCAATTAAGGGAACTTAACGGTTAAAGGCAGCGTCCCTCTTAAAACATCTCCAAACCTTAACTGCGGTTGACAATCGTTTGTCAAGCGTGTTTACTACTGGCAAAACCACCTAAGGGAGAGGCTTATGTTCAACAGTGGATAAATAAAGGTTGATATTTGATGATTACGAGAGTTCTTGTTATTTTCCTTTACTTACTGTAATGAATATGACCTCAGGTATAAATAAAAATTCAGTGTTCATTCAATAAAACAATACTTTTATTATAACATTTCCACAGTGTAAATATATTAAAATTATGCTAAACAACAATACCTGTTATACAAAATCACTGTCCAATATTCAGATCACTCAATAGCTTATCAAAAACATCGTCAGCACTTTGAGTCGGCATTAGACCGCTGACCAATCCATTTTGGAATTCTCCAAATTCACTGTCTCTCCCCATAGTAGTATCAGCTAGCCCTAATTCAGTTAGAAGTGACAGATTATCAACAGTGTCAGATTTAACAGTTTTGTCGAGATTATCAGAATTATCAAGTTCCGGCAGAAGTTGTTCAGAAGAGTCGGTATCGTCTTTGTCTTTATTTTGACGTCTATTAGCAACTTTGGTTTCTTTAATATCGGAGAGATCGTGGTACTCTTGTATTTCTTTTGCGTATTCAATTTCATCGTCGTCTTCCGGGTTGTCCTGTAAATAATTCATATATTTATCTACATCTTAATGTAGCTCTTAAGAAATAAAAAAAATAGAGTGTAGCTGGCACTTATGTATATCCTCACATGTATTTACAAGGTATTTTCAACAGAAGATCCAGAAAATGCAAGTATTTTCTGTTGGAAATACGTTGTAAATACATGTGAGGATATACATAATTGCCAGCTACACTCTATTTTTTTTTTATTACGTCGTAATTTTTTAATTGATATTTACAATTTTTTATGAAAGCGATAGAAATTACTTGTTGTTATTCGCTGTATGTTGTTTAAAGCTCTTACCGTTTTTTAGTATGTTTATGATTATTTATTTATTTATTCATAGGAACACCAACAGTTCATTGCATTGTAACATATCTAACAAACACTAAATACAATACAATTGTAAATTGTAAAAAACATATATACAATATTGCATATGCCTATTAAAGGCCACACACATTGACACTGATTACCTGGTCCTCGTGCTATGCTAGGATACCTTGTGCTATGAGGACTAGTCAATAAATATCTGGGGACATAATTCAGAAAAGTTAATTTTCTAAATTGGCCTGACTAGGGAGAATCCGAACCTGGGATTTCACCTATGTAAAACAACATGCCAAAACTGCAGTTCTTTGCAGAGCAATATACTCTTGTTTGCTATTTTTATAATTGCTCTCTCAAGTTTCATTTGTATCATTAGCTATCTATTTTTATGGTAGATTTCGTACAAGACAGGCAAAGAGACTAACTATTTTTACTTTTAAATACGTTTAATGCTACATCCATTGCCATCAAGTGTCTTTGCAATTTACATAAATGAGAATCAAGATTATGCTCATCAAAGGCATATATTCATAACTAAATAAATCAATAGTATACCTGTATAGTCTGAGCTGTGGATTTGTATTGGAAGGCATTTTGTGATAAGTCCACTTCGACAGGGAAAAGAGTGGAGTTTTCCTTTAGGTGTTCCAAAGTTTCACTGCAAAAGAGAGTGGCAAATAAAATTGCATCGTAATTAATTTGGTGTGGAGATATTTTCACATCTATTTAAAATCTATCTATATAACTAAGTAAAACACAAACAAAATCTAGTTTTAAACAAATGTTTTTGAATACCTCATTAAGGATTCTAATCGTGAACATATATTTCTTATACGTACTTGTGGTATACGGCCAGTCCCTGTATGAACCTCCTGAGCTGGTAGGCTACGTCCTGGGTCTTCTTGTTCTCCAAAAACTCCAATTTTACCAGCACATCGGACCGGAGCCGCGCGAACCTAGCTCGAGCATCTTGACGGCACCGGAGTATCAGTCTGTAGAAAGAATTATTCCAAGCAATAATATAATTGGTAATTTTTACAATAGGCAGATGTACATACAGCCTTTGCAAACTCTATTAGTCCATATTGATGAGACACCGACAGGAACGATATGTCCCTCAATGGTGAGGACGAACTCGGGTTATTTGGTCCATTACGACGTGGCCATTTGTTATTTTTTTGTCTTAATCTGACATAATTAAGACAAAAGAATGAAAGAACTAACACTGGAACAAATGTGTGAAAGTACTTTAATGGTGGTACAAGCTTTGCAAGTGGCAGGATTTACTAACCGCGATAAAAAGTACTATCCCATATTGTAAACGAATACCAAATTTCATAGTGATCGGTGAAACAGTTAAGATGCTATAAGATAACAAACAAATTCTCTTTCACATTTATAATATTAGTAAGGATTGTTTTAATCCTAGAATATAGATAGAAATGGAGAATAAAGCTTTTTTTTATAGTTTGAATAGCTTCCATAAGTCCTCATCTTGTCAATTGTTGCCTAAATCCATTTCCGTCTATTGTTTTACTTACCTATATTCATAGTTGCCAGTCTCAACCCTGTATAATGGTTCCTGCAAAGCGTTAAATCCATATTCTTCATCATCCATCTCTTTGACTTTCAAACAATATGAGAGATACTCAAACTTGGTGTCGGCGTATTTGCGTATAGTCAGTTTCGTATCCGGTATTGCCTTGTTGAGGTATGTGCCCATGTCTGCTAAAATCTGGAAAGAGTAATGATCAAGTCAAGATCAATAACAATAATGTCAATGATGAATCTAGAAATGCAGAAACGTTTTGCGATACCAATGAAATGTATTAGATTGACACGAGTTTTTTAATAAAGGAACCTTAAATTCAACAATCTTAAATTGCGAAGAAATGGGTCGTAGGTTTTGAGAAAAATTTACGTTATTAACGTAACATAAATAAAGGTTTATTTTCCCCAAGTAAAAAGATACTATGCCGCACCAGAATAGTGTAAGATTATATATAAATAATAGTAAATTTTTAGAATTCTCAACTGAAAAGAAAATACGGAAAAATTTAGAGATAGAAACTGGAATTATTATTTCGTATACTTGCTGGTTTTAAAGCCTTCAACATCTTGATACCATCTCTTTCTAGAAGCCTGTGGTACTGGCCAAACTTGCTGAACGCTTCTGATGCCCTCGCCTGAGGTTCCCGAACTCCGATGGCGGCGAAGATGTCTCCAACTGACTTGTATGTTTGGAGCAAATCAAAGTAGGCTTTTAACATTCTAAAACAATAAAAGATAAATGCGATTTAAATTTTCAATGAAGACCGAATAACTGAAGAAAAAGAAATAGAGGTAGCTTATTTAATGGTTGGGACAGTTGTTGTAAAAGCAAAAACCGACCGATGATGACCGAAATCTATAATGATTAGAATTCATCATGCATAAGATTCGTGAGTCTGACAAAAAGTAGTAGGCTGAGCATCCCACTAAGAATGAGAATTCGATAAAGAAGATACATAAAACTAACGAACAAGCTAAACGTTAAAAAATTACAAAGTAGAACTTACCTTTTGGCGTGTTCCACTAATCTTTTATACGTCGTCTCAGTATCTCTTAGTTCATCCAGTTTGGCAACTAGTGTATCATTGCACAGTATCGCCCTGGACAGACCCAGTGCATCGGCCGCTCCAGAAGACATGTTCTCAACCAGTCTATGTTTCATCTTCTTCATTATTATATCAAGAGACTTGCCTTGTTTCGGATCAGCGTGTAATTTATTGTAGTTTATTGTCACTTCGTCCTTAAAATGAGAAATTGGATGCTTTGTTCTATGAATTTACTAGCCAAATAAGAAGTTCAAAGGTATGCTACTAAAATGTGCATATTTATAACAAATATTATACATATATTTTTTGTTACTCTACTCACGTTCGATATTAAATATATATATATATATATATAAATACATTATTAGGTGTTATTTTATTGTTGAACATGATTAATCTATTAGAAATGGAAAAGAAAGTTTGGTGATAACCATGTCTATAGGCTTCGTTACCAAACTCATTACCTGATGATTTTTATAAATTTCCTAGTAGTACAGTCTCTTATATGGCTTGTAAGCGTAATGAAACAAAGTCAAGTATGGGCAAATGTAAAGTTAAAAATACCTTGGCAGCCTGTATCATTTTAGCTACTTCAACTTTGGTTTTCCCTTTCACTGATTGGCCGTTGACTCCGACCAATTCATCACCACTTTGTAGGGTACCATCTCTGGCTGCTGGAGTATTATCGAATATCTAGAATCGAATAGTAAATAAAATACTATAGCAGATATCTCTAAGTATGATTGATGTTAAGAGACAGAATGGTTATTAAGAGTCTGGTGATCTCAAATTAAAATCTCCGAGTCTAGTTTAGGTAATCTTGTCGTATCTAACGAAAACAGTTTAGAAACTTTAGTACATATTACATGTCTATTCATACATGTTTAGTAAATAATAGATGGAAAGATGTATTACTATGGAAATTTTGGAAATTAAATGCAAAAGATCCAAAAGATAGTATTGCTAAGGACATAATGCATTTTACATTCCCCAAAAATAAGAATGAAATAGAATTTTGAAAAATGTCTACATAAATGACTGTTGTCTTGTAATGACTATTGCATATCAGTAATGACAAAATGTCATCTTATTGTACGATATTTTAGCAATACGTTTCTTTCATTTATACATTCATTTATTGTACAGAAGAAATGCGTAATATGTTATTGATATTTATGTAATCTATACTGACCTGTACAATGTAAAGACATGGGCATAGCGGCGCTCCCCCTCCTATACTTATACCGATTAGATTCTTCTCGTCCTTACTGAGTACCACACTCCCTGATGTTACTGTCATACCCCTGGAATATGAATGTATTATATATTAGACAAATGTACGTTTTCATTCTAGTCTCATTTATTAAAAAAAAAATAGATGGAGACATTTTATATATTTTTTTCTTCAATCGCCCATCTTCCATTTGCAGATACCGTCTAGTTACAAAGTTATTTCCTTGTAAAATGGACTGTCTATCAACTGTACATAGAATTCTATTGTTGAGTTAAAGTTGTCTCCTTGTATCCCTGTTTAGATTATTTATTGCATAAAATCTTTGTGTCCTAATGACCTCAAGTCATTACATCAGAAAAATGTAAATTTTTATGTCACATTGTTTCACTGTTTTATTTCTAAATAAAAAAATCTACCAAAAATTTTACTAATATAATAAAATTATAACTAGACGATGTCTGTACATGAAAAAAAAAAATCAATACAAATCAAAACATTTTTTTTATTTTGTCTGTTTGTCTGCTGTATATTTGTTTTGGTAACACGTAAAAACTTGTTCACCAAATTGGATACAATTTCCACAGTTATATTCCTGAGGGTCTAACTTAAAATATGATTATTTCTTGTAATTGTTTGTATTTATAATAAGTTTACTATTGTAATTTTTTGGAGGAAACAATAAAGAGTATCTATCTAAGATTTGATCCATATTTTACTTTGATACGCCATCTAGCAATGGTCCCGTTGATTGGTTTTCCTACTTCTGAATAAGATAACGAAGTAGTAGATAGAAAGATAGTAGATCTAGGAAGGGCAAGTCCTAATTTTTTGTCATTTCTCGACTCACGATTCTTTGCGATAAACATTTTGTTTTATCGATCAAAAAGATGCTAATGAGCTTGATGTCACTTGTATTAACAACATTATTATCGCCGTGTCGGTCCTCGCATAGAATGGGCCACCCCTTCCTTTCCCGTAGGTGTCGTAAGAGGCGACTAAGGGAACATATCGTCGAGGGATGGGCAGCAGCGTCCCTTTTAAAATATTTCAAAAGACATAACTGCGGTTGCCAACTTGCCTGTCAAGTGTGGCAACTGGCAAAACCCTCCAATGTAAAACACTGTCATCTGTATAACTAGACTTATTTTTTGAAAAAAAATCGATGAAAAAAGGAGTGAGGAATGAACTTTAGACATACCTCTGTGACACAGTGAGGCCTGCATACGGGTATTGTTAAAATTTAAATAAAAATCGGTTTAGGCACACATTGGATACGGGGTTAGGTAACATTTTTCAATGGTTATTGAGTATTGTACTCACCTTAGTATTATTTTTCTAGAATTGTAGAGCAAGGCAGGAGACAGTAGTAAAGGTTCTAATGGGTTGAAGTTAGATTTGACTTCATATGTGATAGTAGGATAGTTCTTTCTGTCTACCTTGTAAGAGACATAAGTTGATACCTATATCATTCAAAATACTATAATTATAAATTTATTTACATATATTTTTAAGCGATTTTAAAAATAAGGAGATTCTCAATTTTTATGTTTGTTACTTCATAACTCCGTTAGTTGTAAACACATTTGGAAAATTAATTTTTTTGTTTGTAAGGATATACTTACAGATTGGTCTTATATAAAATTTTCCAATATCTGTTTGGTTGTTTTGTTTTTAAAACAGAATAACTAGTTTTGTCACAATTGAAGTCGGTTTTTTTTGTGTTTAACAATGTAATATATTTTGAGAGGCTTGTATGTGTGCATAAACATCTTTTATTACGAAAGCATATATCGTCATAGTCGTAGAATACTGACGGATCTATATATGTAATATTCGTCAGATCCGTCAGTATTCTACGACTATGACGATATAGGCTATCTAAGCTACATATACCATGTAGCTTAGATAGATAGATAGATACTCTTTATTGTTTCTTCCAAAAGATTACAATAGTCAACTTATTATATAGCTTAATTTAATTTATATCAACTAAAATAAACCTATATAAATTAATTGCTACGGCACTATTTTTAAAAATCTACATAAAACCCAATCCTTCTAATCTAGCTATAAATAGCACAAACCTACTCAAAATTTAGCAAGGATTTATTTTTTCAAATAAAAGAACAAATATTTTTCATTATTGTGTATTTATTTAGTGTTCTGGCTGTGTGACATGCGATCTAGCTCCACTACACTGGCATTGCGTATCTGAAAAATAAATTACATATAGCATTTAATATTTTAGTTGTTATTTAAAGCTTAATTTATGTATTAGCAACGGTATTTACAGTATTTATTACAATGAAACCGCTCTGATGTTTTAAAGAAATTTTAGATCCTCAAGTTTTTATTGTGCATTGCTTTTCTAAAGAAACATAGGCCAAAAAAGGTAAAAAACATTGACGATGCGTCCAATTTTCAAATTAGAAATAAGACTCGAATTTTGTTTGCCGTTTTTCAATCATAATTGTTTCAAAAAGAAATAAGTTAATAATTTCGTATTTCCCCTAATATTCTTTTAGTGAAAAAAATGTAATATTAGTGTAATTTGCTAATACAAACTATTGCATATGGATCCTGATTCTAACCTAATTCCTAACTGTTGCTTCATGAATGCAGTACAAAATTGTCATTGGCAATAAATTGGATTAATATTGATATTAAATTTAAGAGTTGTCTTATTGTTTTTTTTAATGTAGACTTCAATTGAGCAGAAAACGGTTCAAGCTTTTTATTTATATACTATTGTTTTTTTTTGTTTCTTTTGTTCTTGTTTTGTGTGAGACTGTGCGAGTCGCATGATTCTTTGATAAAATTATTTATTTCTTTCTTTCTTTCTAATAAATTACGTAGAAAATTATTGTAAAAGAGAATTAAGATCTGAGCGGTGTATTTATAATAAATGACAATTATTATATTTACAAGTGAATTAATACAAGTTACTCGAGCTGTGCACATAATTTCATTAATTTATAACTTAGCTGTATCAAAAATGTTACAATTATTTAAGTAGTTTATGATTGTTATCTATTTTATATGTATAATAAATAAAATACAAGTTATAGCAAATACTAGCAGATGTGCAAATGTCTAACTAAACATTATATAGAATATATTATACAGTGAACGCTCTATATAAGTAACCTCTCTATAAGAAACATTTTACTTATTCTACTCAGCTTAGTAAAAGAATTAAATAAAAGATGGTAAGTATTTTTATACTCCTTTTTTCCCTATAAGCAACTTTTCCCAATATGAAACTTTTTTTTATTAAAAATAAGTTCAAATGAGTTGCTTTTATAGAGCGTTAACTATATTTATATTTTGCTATATTTATATTTGAAAAAATCAACAGCTGTGTTCCTTGCCCGTTCTTCTCAGCTGAAATTGCATTCCGAACTGGGCGATAGTTTATGAAAGACTATTTCAAAAATGCTTATTATTATGTTTACTTGAATAAAACTTATTTATTATTATTATATAATAACTATATATACTTACATTAAATCTTGGTGGTACAATGTATATCTTTCATATCGCATATCATTGAATATACAGTCAGGATTATTCGTATCTTCCCTTTCTTTTGATGAACTGTCGATATAAAATTATTAATTTATATTATAAAAAGGTAATTTCAATTTCCTATTAAAGTATCTAGTTTACACATAGTGGATTTCATCCCTTTATAAATGCTGAGTTATTACACAGAGCGGATTTCACCTACTTATAGGAACTGAGTTACCACACATAGCGGATTTCACCTATTTCAAGGATCTGAGTTACTAAATACAATGGATGTCACCCCATTAATTATTACACACAGCGGATTTCACCTACTTATAGGAACTGAGTTACCACACATAGCGGATTTCACCTATTTCAAGGATCTGAGTTACTAAATACAATGGATGTCACCCCATTAATTATTACACACAGCGGATTTCACCTACTTATAGGAACTGAGTTACCACACATAGCGGATTTCACCTATTTAAAATACTTTCTACCTGACAAAGTACATTTGTTAATAATAATAAATACTAAGAAGCAATTGTATGGAAAGCCTTAGGTTAAGAAATGGGGGACAAAAATAAACAGTAGGTATCCTTGTTAAACAGACGCCTCATTACAATATTGTTGTGTAAAAGAATATTATGGAAATTACCTGTACAGTTATATGAAGTGACGACTCAATGTTACACGGTTACACGGTTACACAGATCAATAATTTATCTAGATAGAGTGTAGATATCTGCTTACAAATACATAGGTAAGAACTGCCTATTTTTAAAATTGCACTTTTTTATAATTTTATTAATTTTGCAATTAGTAACTCTTATTTCACTATCAGTAATCTATATAGTCGTAAAAAAAAAGATGAATTGGACGACCACAATTCGTCTATTTTGTGACTATGTTGCGAGATTAACGACCTGTGTCACCATTTACGAATCGAGAAAAAATGAGATAACTAATTTATATTAATTATACGTTCTATCTCTTGTTTGTAAAAGTTGTAAAAGTATAATAGTATTAGAATGACATAGTCATTAGTCATTTATTCAAAAAACAAAGTACAGTGTCTGAAATGAGGGATAAACATACAAAAATCATTACATTGACTTGAATATTACAACCATCCAATAACTATAATAATAACAATAAATTATAATAAATACATTTTGCAATGAATAGTGTCAACTTCATCGTAATATTATATATATATGTCAAATTCATTTTTAATTAGTTACATTAATTTACATTAATTAAACAGTACAGAAGTGATGTACGGAGTAGTAACATTTCTCCAATAAAAGGGATCGTAATTTAATCTTAAAAAATTGAGACTTTGTATAATTTTTAACTGGACAGGTAATTTGTTAAATAACACTACTGCCTGATGACGTGTACCATGTTTGACAATGTCTAAAATCATATAAACATTTTTTCCATGGAATTGGGATAGAATTTGTTTCAGGATAGAATTTCATCATAATTATAACCCATTAATTAGTATTAAATCGCTTAAAGCGTATGAATTAAATCCTTATTAACCAGAGAATATAATTAAAATAAACAATAGATTTTAATATAACGTAATGTATTTATTATACGCCATTTTGTGAAACGTTAATGTTATGTAAGTTTTAACACTTACTGTATGTAAGAGCTAAGTCAGGCTAAAAACAAAAAGCGAAATACCAGTTCTAATATGACAAAGATGCATAATAAGCATACGGCTAGCTTGATAGTGTTTACTATAGTTATAAGAATCATGCAACACTGTAAATGTTACTCACATGTAGATTCTTGAAAAATAAATATTTTAAATGGTATTAGTACTTAATGTAATACTTTCACCACCATATATCTTCTTTAAACCGAAATATAAATAATCAAATATTTGGCGACAGTAATCTATATAAATACAAATTAATGCCGAATGTATGTAAGGTGATAAAGAGATAACTATACAGATGAATTTGTATGACTTTCTCTCTGGTATTTAATTGTTAAATAGAATAGATATTATCTCATTCTCTCTCTCTCTCTCTGTCTGTTTTTCTCTATATATATATATATATAGAGAGAGAGAGAGAGACACCTAATGTATGTATACCTACATATAAAACGTCGATGTACTTACCCATCATTTATATCAGTTTCGTTTATCTTCTTCACATCTTGGAGAGCACTGTACATACAAACCATTTAATTTATTATATACCGAAATATTTCCCTATTATTTAAAAATTATTCAATGATTCCAAAATGTTTTATTATTTAAAGTTATAGTTTTTAAATATATATTTTTATGATTTATATGAAAGTGTAGAGTTATATTAAAATATTTTATAAAACTTTTTAAATGTTCTTGTTTTTTTTTTTTTATTTAGGTATATAAAGGTTTCAAAACCAAAATAAGTAATTGCATAAAACTTACCTTTCCTCTACAGGCAACAATAATGAGTTAGTGAACTTAGTATCTCGTTTTCTGTATAAAAAAAATAAAATGTAAAATATATAAATAAATACTTTAGAAGGCCTCGGAATATATTTATATAAAAATACACTTACAAACAAAATTTTGTATAAGTACCTAAGTGTTTACTTAAATATGTCTCTACATAAAACATGGATTTTTTTAAATATTAAAAAAATTCCAACTTAAATAATATTTGTTGAGTAACATCTAAAAAAAAAAAATAATAATACAACTCCATCTAAAAGTAATACATCACCTTATTATCTTTAAAAAATTACTTATTACACTTTCAACTTTACCAAAATATGTTGATGCGGGAAACCAAAATACATTCCTAATGTAAAAACGTTACATATAACTAACTAATAAATTGTAAAACAGACAAAATTTACATTTTATCCTCGTAAGAATGCGGCATCAAATAAAACTGTGGATATATCCTAGGGTCGTTGAATGGAAACATTTCGTTTGGTTGTTGCCACATATTTATAATCACAAAACACTAAAGTACACAGCGAAACCCAGCAAATACTGAGTCAATCGAAATCAAACAATTGATAACGCACTGCAACAGAGGAAGTTACATGTAAGTACCTACCATTGTACAGATAATGTTTACAATGTTTAAATAAATAACTCCAAAATAATTATATTACAAACTCACATTTTGTCTTCTTCGAAAAAGAAATCGTCATCGTATTCTTGCATCATATTGATAATTGTTTTTCTATTTTCTACACATATGTCACGGGATGATTGTCAGAATTATTGATTTTTCCCGGGTTCTGTTTGTTTACGTGGATGTCGGTAAAACAGTACGCCATGTTGGAGCACAGACCAATCAAAAGGCGGGAAAGTAATGAGGCAAAGGAATTTATCTAGATGATACTTAATTCAAAGATATTTATTTTATAACAGAAAATATTAATGAGTAACACTGCAAATTTATTGGTATACATAGACTATTTTTAAATAATAGATTGTAAACTAGAAGTCATTAGTGAATTCAATTGAATGACAAATTCGCATGAAAGGAGTCATTACTTCAATAACGTAATATAACTTGATATCAACCATACAAAGGTAGTGTTAGGGTTGAATATTGAGTATTGACATGAAATGTATCGCAATTTGGAAATAGAAAACTAGTGGTTCTGGTGGAATATTTCTTTATGGCATATTTATGATAAAGGCCCGTGTCTTGTTTCATTATTATCATCATATTGGCTATTAACTGCCACTGCTTAATATAGGCCTTATTTGCTAATTTACTGCTACATATGAATTGTTGGACGTTAACTTTATGACATTCTAAATAGGAAAATTTTGAAAAGTATCAAGAATGTGTCAAGGAGGTATGTTTCTAAGACCAAGTTACTAAAATTGAATTATTATAATAAATTAAATTAAGTAGTTTTTATATGCAGTGCCAGCCCTAGCTATACTGTTAAGTAACCAAACGTGGTCTGCTTTAAATGTAAAAGTTGCAATAAACAAGTTGTTACGTTTCGTACAAACAACCAGTGCCTTTGAGGGCGTCACGCGTTTTGGTTTGGTATTGTTGAAGTGATATTTTCATTATGAAAATAATAATTGTGAGTTTCCAAATATAGTATTTCATAAAAAAAAAATAAGAAAGTGAATTGTCAAAAATTTCCCGCTAAAACTTGACAGTATAATTTTTTTTCAGCTGACTTTGTGTTTATGGAATCTGCTTTATCGACATGTTGGTGCTCAAGATAATATTCCCGTGGGACCGTTAGAGTCCTTTATACGTACAAATTTCATTGGTTCTCCTGTGATCCATAAGGAGCAAACTTGGAATTTTGACCCTGATGTGGCTGTTCGGTTACGAAAACAGTTTATTGAGTTACATGGTGATAAAGGAGAAAAACTAATCGAAAGACTAGGTCTAGGCATAGACGGCCGAGGCGAAGAAAGACTGCTGAGGCAAAGACAAAGAGATAAGGGACATTTGGGAGGATTAAATTATTTTCTACCATAATCTTCTTTTAATGTAGGTATTTTAAATTATGATTTTATTGATATGTGGTTTAGGTAATTTAATATAGGTAATTAGAAGAATTTTCAAGTATTTCAAGTAAAAATATGTGATGTAAGTTATTATAATTTAAAATTGTCATCTGTAATAAAAAAATATACAAATATATAAAAGCAATATTGGGACTTTTCTACTACAATTACGTATACAAAAGTATTCACATAAGTCAACGGTCACCTTAAGTAATCCTACAGATACATATATATTTATTATTGTATGATATATTATTAAGCAGTGGAATATAATTGTATTTTTATTATTACTATACTGTGTCCCCCTACCCCTTTCCTTTCTCATATAAATCCCTTATTCCTCCCATTTTCCAATTTCCTTTACGCGTCTCCAACGTTCTCTTCCTTTTTCTTCAATCCTTTCCTCCATACCGTAGATAGCGGAAACCACCAGCAAATGCATTCCCAAAGAGGGTTGGCGTCAGTCAGGCCGGTCGTAAAACTATAAGCCAAATCTTTTTGTAATATGGATAACGCATAAAAGAGATTAAAACATTACGCCGACCCCAAATAATAATTGGGATAAGGGTAGGAAGATTATTATTATATTGAATAAACATGAAATAAACCCTTTCAAATAAAAATATAACCCTAATGTATTAAGTATGTGAAATACTTTTTAAGATTAGGACATGATAGGGCTGGCAAATCATTATAGAATAGCCTTTAAATAAAAAATAGATAAAAAAAAAATATAACCCAAACAGCGAAGCCTATACTTAGTTTTAACCTGTAAATCCACACTTATTTTATAGTAAAAAATATTGAAATTAAGACCTAAGATAAAAAAAAAACCATCTTTGTTCGTAAGAAATGAACGAAAAAGTAATATATGCAACAGATTTATAATATATTAATAATATAATTAATTATTGATAACATAATTATCTTTTGTGTTTTTTTTTTACATAATAGTTAACATAATTAGTTTTTTTTTTCTGTCAATAATGTTTACGTGTGTGTATTGTTAGTAATAGACTCTTAACTGACTCATTGCTAGCAAAATAGGGAATAATATCAGGATGATCTCCACGCAGGTCCCTTGGAAACCATTTTTTTTTATGCAACTTAGAATGGCAAACAAGCTGACGTCCCACCTGATCGTAAGTGGTAACCGTGGCCTATAGACAATAGCAGTACCATGGACATAACCGAGTGTACTGTTTGGCCCATGATACCCCCCATGCATTGCCATTCGTGAGGACTCAGGTGTTACTCCTCTGTACCCTGTAAATTCACTGCCATATCCCACCCTTCTAACTGCAACAGCCATGCGAACACAACTGCTTCACGGTAGAAACACGAATGGGATAGAGGTGCCCAAGCAAACGAATTTTGTACAGTCTCTCTCTTGATTAACTCCTATGGAATTTGTTACGATGAGCTAACTGGTCCATTTACATCTTCATCTATCATTTTTCATTGGTGGCCAGCCGGTTTATACCGATAGTGCAGGTTGCAGGCCTAAGATTCTATTATCACCTATTAAAAAACATTTCTATTTAAGTTTTTCACTACTTAACGCGACGCCAGTGGTTGAGAAACGAAGCATTAGGATAATGGATGTATCATTGCATAATTATAATCGTTGATGGGACCTGTAAGTAGCTATGTGTCAATGTTTCACCTTGACTTCCTTTGTCATGACGTTTAATTAAAATTCAAAATGTTAACTTTGATTTTTATATAATACTAGCTGACTCGGCAAACGTTGTTTTACCATATATTTTTTTTCTAAAACTATACATGAAAATATATCGTACTACAATTATTATATTCGATTACCATCTTGCAACCCTATTGCGGCATATGAAAATCACGATTAAAAAACAGGGATTGATCGTAAATGCGTGAAAATTTGAAGTTGTATATATTTTTCAATGCTAAATTATAATAAGATAAAAATAAAAAAATAAAAAATAAAATATCTTGAGGTGGGTCACCCTTATCATTGACGGGTATGAAAAATAGATGTTGGCCGATTCTCAGACCTACCCAATATGCACACAAAGTTTCATAAATATCGGTAAAGCCGTTTCGGAGGAGTTTGGTAACAAACACCGTGACACGAGAATTTTATATATAAGATTATGTGTTGTTTGATGAACACAGAGAAAGTGGAAGAGGTCTGTTTGAATCGAAGCATTTGGCGTTCCATTGTTTCTGCTTACCCCAATGGGACACAGGCGTGACAGATATGTTAAGCTGATTCGGTCAAACATTTTGGCCCCCACCGCCACCTAGCGGTCCATTATGTCTTGTTAGGAGGCGGGAAAGAGATTGTTAGTAATGCATGTGATCCCCCTAAAAACCTTCATGGTTTAATACTTATTTAAAAAGAAGAGATTATATACTGTTTTTTTTTAATGGACGATAATGGAATGTTAACTCCGCCTGCGCTAACGATATACGCTGGCGGGGCATCAGTGAGAGATGATAAATGAGAATGAAAGGGCAGGTCAGTTAGCACATCGCGATGACTACACCTGGAATTCAGCACGATGGTTTCCGGGGGAAACCAGGGCGAGATCAACGTATATTATTATCAAAAGGACTGATAGTCCGCATTACTAACAATCCTCTCTCCCCCACGATGACTTCTAGGACGGATCGAGTGGCAGTCGACCTGGTATATGGTATTGTTAACAATTGGGTTATAAATACATCCCACTCATCTGGAATGTATAGGTAAGGTAGAGTACAAAACTGGATGTAGTAATGAGCAACACCAAAATGTAGAAATGATAGCCTGAGAATGGCCTAGAATGGGTTATTATGAATTTCTAGAATCAGCGTATATATCGTCATAGTCGTAGAATACTGACGGATCTTTATACGTAATATTTGTCAGATCCATCAGTATTCTACGACTATGACGATATACATGTGCATAAGAAAATCCCACATAGTCGATGAAGCAAGAGATGTGTGTCTGTTTAGAAGTTCTTTTAAATTCGGTTATCATTACCTATCCTATCCTATTTATGTTATCCTATCCAGACTATCCTATACAGAATATAGCGTGAATTTGTATAGATAAATAGAGCATTAATCATTTGCGAGGAATTTCTTTTTAGTGCCATCTATTTATAATTCTTCAAAAGCGGTGGTTCGATGGTTATGATTCATGTATACAATTAGTAACAGAATATAAATGTAGATGGCGCTGCTTATTACTGAAAGTTGGAAAAGTTCACTGTTAACGATAAATTATGTTTTAAAGTGCCAGCGAATCATACTAAATTGGTCGATGAAGTGATCTATGCAGTATATTTGTACCTTTGCAAAATTAATGTGGGGCCAACATGGTTTTAATTGAGTAAGAATAATCAAAATCGGTTCAGTATTGATGAATATATAATGTAAAATACCGTCAAAACGCCGATAAATCGAGGATCTCTTTTATTAGCAATAATCATAACTGTACAGTATAATAAGTAATATAACATAAGGACAATTAAAATTTTTTAATCTATCAATTTTAAGAGTGAGATTGTGCTACAGCTAAATCATTCCCGCAGGTTTTTCCTGCGGGAATGATCTATGAAATCTCTCCTCCTCCTAGTACTTCTTTTATCAGCAATCATGCCTAGGATGATAAGCTAGAGTACTCTGTATTTTTCATTTGTCATGACGTGACCGAAGTATAACATTTTTCGATACTTCACGGCGTTCATAAGCTCTAAATTTTTCCTAAGCCTGACTAATAATTTAATATTTGTGATTCGGTCACGTCATGATATATTTTTTTATACAAATTAGAATGGTAAACAAGGTGACGGCCCACCTGATGGAAAGTGGTAACCGTCGCCTATAAACATGAGCAGTACCATGGACATAACAGAGTGTACTGTTTCGCCCATGATACCCCTGTGCGTTGTCATTCCTGAGGATTCAGGTGTTATTTCTCTGTACCATGTAAATTCATAATATTTTCAAAATACGACATGTCCACATCTCAAACGCTTCCAGTTCCCTTATTGTGTACTGTGTGAGGGTTTACGTCTCTATGTCATACAGTAGTACAGAGAAGACATAGCAGCGTAATATATGTAGTCTTGTCGTAGTGAAGGTTCCGGCATAGAATGGGCCACCATCTCTTTTCTCATGGGTGTCGACTAAGACATCACCTAAAACCTAACTGCAGTTGCCAACCCGCCTGCTAAACGTGGCAATTACTGGCAAACCCTTCCTATAGGGAGAGGCCAATTGAACATTGGATAGTTAACAGCTGATATTATCATATGTAGTCTTAGATTAATATTTTGATCTCTATTACACACAATTTATTTTAAAGAAAGTCGAGTAAGCTGTCTCAATGCGAACTTCGATTTCTTAAGCATGATCTTCTGTTTCAGTCATTCAACTTCTCAGATTCTTGAACTTATCAATCTGTTCTACCAATTGTGTCCCAATAAAGAGTTTATCGTGGAATCTTGGACTTTTAGAGATGAATACCTACTTCGTTTTTGTAATGCTGTTTGTAGTACTGCTAAAGCTTAAAAAAAATGCAATTTTAAGAATATGAATACGTTAAATATAACTAAATTAAATAATATTAATATTTACAGATATTTTTTAAATAAAACAAAATATTTTATTTGAATATCATTTCATTTATTTATTTTATGTGAATTACAATATTGAGAAATGAAATATTACGATAATGACATTAATTAGAAAATATCCTAAGAAATTATTGGAAATTGGACACGCTAGCTTAAATATAAACATCGTGAATTTAATTTGGATTAAACATTAGAGAGTTCATTACTTCTGTCTAATATAATGATAAAATTTGTCGAAGATTCAAAATTTATAATTACCTAATCTCGTTGTTTATTTGAACCTCCAAGAAAGTTATCAAATTGTCATATAGTGAAAATATTTAAGTAAGTAAACCTAACTAATGTTTTATAGTTAGAGAATCAGGAAAAAGTATTATAACATGTGTATTTTGTGTCATAAATATGGTACCAAGTAAGTACCATTGGTGTATTTAAAATTAATTTAAATGGGGGTTTGGCTTAAAAATTGTATATGTACTTTCAATGTTTTTAGTATACCCATAGCTCCTCCCATAGTATCCTCTAAGGTTAACACTTAAGGTTAATCTTAAGCTAACCACAGGTTAACCCTAGTTAACGTGTTTGATTCAAATACAAACAACTGTTTGTGTTACTGAAACTTCATTGTATTCATAATATAATATTCTTTTAAATTTTTAGCTTGTTGTAAAATATTTATTACATTTATACACGCAATACGTTTTGAAATATCGTCCCAAAGGTAATATAATTTTTTTAATATTGTCATATAATTGGAGAATTCAAATATTAAATATTTTATATTTTGTTTAAATGGTAAATTGCGTCTCCTACGACATATACTGGTAAAGACAACAACCAAAACTTTTTGTAACTAAATGGTAGATGGCGCTATACTAAAAGAATTGTTGCGATTTTGTACCGGTACTTATGTTATTAATATAGAATTTATTAAAATTACATACCAATTTCCTGATATCCAAAACTATAAAGTACAGACAAAAAATTAAATATAGTAAATAGGTATAGTATAAAAAAAATCTATAACTCTATGACTGTATATAATAAACACGATAAATGCATAGGTATCAAAAAAGATTTCATTACATCTTAAAAACTAAACAAAGATATTTTGTGACTGGTTCTCTTAAAATTATATATGTATTATTATTATTTAATAAAAGACGGAAATATAAGGGAGGCAGTTATCAGTCTTTTAACCCAATTACGTAGATAAAAGTATGAATATGTATACAGGGGGCTCAGGACAGTTCCTTATGGTAATCTTGAGAAGGTCTGGGCTCAGCAGTGGATAGGTAATGGCTAAAATGAAAATATAGCTTAAAAGTACTAGGTGAAAATATTTAAACAATATTGCTGACATTTAAAACTATTTACTTAATAATTGGATATTCATAGCTACCATTTCTCGATGAAGTAAAATATATATTGGAACCAGTGGAATCGTCTAAGATATCTACCATTTAATAGCAAAGGTAAATGGGAAATTTAAATGGGATATTACATCAAATGTTTTTAATATTAAATATTATTTCCAAAACAACCTATTTTGGAAATAAAATTCTATCTAAAATAAGTAGATGAGTATTTTTGTTGCATTTAAATTTGTTATTTTTTGCAAGCAAACAAAGTTAACTGGACCATACAGTCTGATGCTATATGTAGGAAATCAACTGACATTGTTGTAGCATGGATGAAAGTATACATATACAATTTATATTAAGATTTCTTTTATGTATGATATTATTTAAAATATTTGTACAATTTCCATTGTACAAGTATTTTAAATACATCTATTATATTTCCAGCTAGTATAATAAACATATAGAAACCTAACATGAATTAACTTTGACATTACACATCATACATTATTAACCATGTTTGTTCTTGATATTAAGTTCCCAAACTACATCTCTACGAATTGTTATCCAAATAGATTTATTTGTCATGTAATGAAAAAGAAGAGAGAAAACTAAAATTATTTGTAATTATAATAAGGATTAAACAGCTGTTAAATACGTCCCATATATTTCTGTTTATGAATATCAAATGATACGGTTTATGGGTTATTAATATAAGTTTTTAATAATTTTCTCATCATAACGTGATACCTAAGATTAAGAACTTAGTTCATAATCTTAGCTATAAACAAGATATGTAGAGGGCGCTTTAAAACGCTTTTTTTTTAGTTTTAAATTAGTTGGTGTTATAAAATTCGTCTAAAATGGACAGGCAAAGAGCATGGCCCAAACAGCCTAGTCATAAGTGTTTAAATTAGTATTTTTTAAATATTAGTATTGTTTTTTAATACTTTACTTTTTAATGTAAATATGCAAATTTATACCCTGTATGTTGTACATACAATTTTATTTTAGGCCAAGAAAATTATTTCGAAAAACGTAATTTCCTTGTCATTATTTAAGATTATAAACCGACCAGAGATATTAGATTAAAAACAAAACTAGATATCAGATTATTAAAATACGGCATAAAATTGTAAAAAACAAGGAAAAACAATTTTACGAACAATGTTGTCTAAAACTGTTACTATAGAAAGATTGTAAAAAAATGTTAAGTCCACACAAGGTCATACAAATTTTCCGGTCCCATACAACCGTATCAGTTTGAATAGAGCATCATCACAAATGTATTACATTTTATTTGAAAGAAATGTCTTTTTTTTACTTAATAAGGCACCTCGCTTTTTTGGTTTACAATAAAAGAAATTAGGAATTTTATCATCTAATTTACTAGTAATATGCCAAAATTTAGAGGACTAAAGGAGAATTAAAATTACATATTCCTACATCTAAAAGAACATCGCAATAGTATTACACCGTAATATGGCATTAAATCATAAATAACGATTTATAATTATTAAGAGATCAAAAACAAGTTTTTTTTTTTTTATTTAATTCAATACGACATAATTTATTTTATGGTTTGCCTCCATTAATAACCTATTGAAAAATAAATTCGATCTCCTTACGCTTGCATCATAGGAAAAAATATATATTTCTTTCTATTTCAATTTAATTATTTGTACTTAATGTGATACATTTGGATTCAAATTATGTAAAAAAATATTTTGTATTTACATAAAAAAACATATTTTTTAATAATTACCTAACAATTATATCAATTTACAAACGCGCCAAATAGATAATTAAAACGCTAAAAAAAAAAAGGCGGCGGCGGTATTGCAGGTTACGTAATTTTAGTTCCAATATATTCTATAGCAAGTACAAATTCTTAGATTTCTTTATGCCAGTAATGAATCCAATTTAACGTTATATTTATAATATAAATGTATAAAAACTATTATTATAGACAGTTTAAAATTTTGAAAGAATATGTTGCAAGTATTGTTTTTTTGTTGTATTTTTGGGTCGAAGGCTAGTGAGCCAAAATTCTAAATTAAAAAAAAAGCAAATCAATGTAGGGTGTGTCTATGTAAAATAATAGGTTTTTAATGAAGGCAAACTAATAAGTAAGTACAATAATGTTGTCGTTGTATTTCTCCTATTATTTAGTTTTCTTGATTCCCATGTCTTCTTTATGTTGATATTTCTCCTGTTCTGCCGAAGATCTGAAAGTAGAGAAGTTAAAATTAATTAACAATAATTTAATTAGATTTATTTTTGCTTAAAGAAAATAATTAAAACATTAAATATGTATATATTCTTATCCATTTAAAAACAATCAAGGTTTTAGGGACTTAATTTTACCCACTGTAAGTAACATTAAATTAGTTGAATTCTTGGAATTAATTATATAAACCGATGTTAATTAAAAAAAGGCGTCTGCCGTGTAATCCCGGCATAGAATAGGATACCTCTTCTTGTCCAGTGGGTGTCGTAAGAAGCGATGGGCAGCAGCGTCCCTCTTTAAACATCACCAAAACCTAACTGCGCTTGCCAATCCGCCTGCCAAGCGTGCAAACTACCGGCAAAACTCTCTTTTGAGGGAGGCCTATGTTCAGCAGTGGACAGTACACGACTAATATCGTCATAGTGGTAGAATACTGACGGATCTTTATATGTAACATTTGTCAGATCCGTCAGTATTCTACCACTATGACGGTATGATAATGATGAAATCAATGAAAAATAGATATTTCAATATTTAATGTATAAAATTTGTTGTAAAAATCAAATTGTTTTTGAGTTTTTCTTATTGTAAAAAAACCCCTTACACAATCATTTAAAGACATGGAAAGATATTGAGAACGTAGGCATTATTCTTTATCTATGTTCAAATTTATTTTTAGTCGCATTTCCAATTATTACATTTTCAATATTCGTTATAGTATCGTGCCGTCATAGTTAAGGTTTACCGAGGTAACGGTTCTATTCATTTCTATTCCTTTTCGGGACTGTGAGAAAGTGCTATTTCATTGTGTCGTGTCGTGTTAGAGAGAGATGGCAAGACGGAAAATTCGTGGTAAACAGATAAAGCAATTCTATTTACAAGCGGACATGACGAAGACAGTCGAAACTAGATCCCTTAAATCAGAGAGATCAGGCTGAGTACTACCAGAGTGATCGACCGGAATCGCTGCGCATGGTTCCCCAAACAAAAACAATACTTAAGGAAGACACTCAAAAATAATAACCCTTATACGTTAATATGGCAGACTTGCAATTTTTTTTTCCAATTTAGATTTTTCAATTCAAGATATTTCTGTCGTAATACATTCTACAGCATGAGAAGACCTTTTCACGTACGGTTAGTTTAGGATTCTTTATACTGAGTTTTATAGCGAATTAAATATTTGTTCCAAATTAAAAATTTTGAATGTTTTGCACCAATTCCTCAATAGTCATGCTACTGTTAATTTTTTTTTAATTGTACGATATTTTCTTGAGGAAAATAAACACATCTCTATCTTTTTTGTCAATCGGATAAAAATTCAATACGATTTCAATAATTTACAGTGCAAATGGAACCAATTTAGACATTTTTTGATACCAAATTTGCTCGATTTTAACCTTTAACTTAATGTTAACTATTAAATCTAATAGACATAATAATAGCCTGAAGAGTACATTACAATGATGGTGCCTTGATGGATTAATTGCTATGTAAGCGTATGTGAAAAGTATAAAAAAACCTTGTCACTTTTATTCATTCAGTAATTTTTGTTAATTTGGCGCGTCGGTCCCGGCATAGGATAGGTCTCCCCTTACTTTCTTGCGGATGTCGTAAGAAGCAACTAAGGACATTAACGGTCGAGGGATAAGCAGCGTTCCTCTTAAAATATCACTGGCCTAACTGTGGTTGCCAAACAACCTTCTAAGCATGGCAACTACTGGCAAAACCTCCTTTATGGGAACGCCTATGTTTAGCAGAGGACAGTTGACAGCCAATATCAACTTCTTCATCATCAATTGTTATTAAATTTAATATATCAGGGAATATTTGAAAGAAGTAGTGTAGTAAGTTTGCTAACTTTTGTATTATGTTTCAAAATGTAAGCATTCATTTACTAGATAGATTGTGATTCACGAAAAAATCTAACTGAATTGTGACAGAGTCGGTTATTTTGAAAAACTTTAAAATTAAACTGTTGAACCGATTTTGATAGAACTTCCGTGGGACCAATCTGCAAGTACATTCTTTTAGATAAAATAATAAAAAAACGTTACGAAGTAAGAAGACTAATTATTATTATTTCTTTTTTATACAACTTAGAATGGCAAACAAGCTGACGCCCCACCTAATCGAAAGTGGTAACCGTCGCCTATAGACATGAGCAGTACCATGGACATAACAGAATATACTATTTCGTCCATGATACCCCCCCATGCGTTGCCATTCCTGAGGACTCAGGTGTTATTTCTCTGTATCCAGTAAATTCACGCCATATCCTACCCTTCAAACCGAAACACAGCCATGCAATCAACTGCTTCACGGTAGAAACACGAATAGGACAGAGGTACCCAAGCAATCGACTTTTGTACAAAGTTACATTTTTAAAGTCGGTTTAAAATTTAATTGACTGGCTTTGTACCTGCATTTTTTCATTCTGGATCAACTATTAATAGACCTCAAGTTATGATAACTCATAGACCTATTATACGTACTCAAAAATGATAACCAGTATGTGAATTATAGAATAAAGATAGTTGATATGGCCCGTGCAAATAAAATAAGTAAAAAGCTTTTGTTTCTTAATGTACCACGACCGAGAATCGAACCCAAGACCTGATTAATATAACAGATAGTTGTATGTGGTAAACCAATCTAGGTATGTCATTTCGTTTCACCCAGATCGAAGCTGATACTTGAAGGTCTCGAAGCCGGTATTCGAACCACTAGACCAACGTCAGGATTTGACATTTACTGTGCAGGACGTAAATATATAATTTTTATTTGTACTTATATCTTTTTAACATTTCGTTGTTACACACGAGTGAACGCGACAAGGTTCCAGGGTTTAATCTAGTAATTACGTTAACTATGACACTTTGATGATTGCTATCATAATTTTAGGTTCAATGTACCTCAAGGAACTCTTAAAGCAATAGTTTTTAGATATATAGTCTATGAATTATGCAATAATTAAAAAAATAGATAGATACTCTTTATTGTTTCCTCCAAAAGATTACAATAGTAAACTTATTATAAATATAAACAATCACAAGAAATAATTACAAAACATTCATATTTTCTTTCTCTTGGTATGTTTTTTTTTTTTTTTAATTTAACAGAAGTGAAAAATATTATTGCTCTCTTTTTATTACATATAGAACCATATTTGATTAAAATTTGTATTTTTACTTTTAAACCGATTAAAAAAAAAAGGAGGTCATCAATTCGGTAGTATTTTTTTGTGTTTGACATTTGTAAACCGATCTGAAAAATTATTTTTTATCTGAGATACACTTTTAGATTGGTTCCATAGAAATTTTATCAGAATCGATTCAGATAGATAGATAGATAATTTATTTGCATTACTTACTTACAGCACACAAATTACAACATAGATATACAAAAAAAGCGAGATAACATAAATAATAAAAAGTAAAAAAAATACATAAAGCTAAGTTAAAGCTAAATACAATTTTCGTTTGTAAGTGTGCCATAGCAATACAAAATGGCCACAACTCAGTCTATTGCTTCGCCCTCAAAAGAGTATTTAGTAATTTAGTTTCAAATTAAAATAACTAATAACTGACGTAGCTGTTTTATGTAGAAAAAATCTGTTATGTAAATAAAAAGTGTGTAATAGATAGAGATTAAACACATCAACAGTTTTATATAGTTTTGTTTTATATGCCTAAGGCTATAACGTCTATGAGGTTTTTTATTATAAAGGTCAAAACAATCCGAGTCAAGTTCAAGACATATCAAAAGACACGATCTTGAATGATGTTTGCGTAAAATTTAACCATAGAGCATGATTGTTTTAATCCGTCACAGATTCAAGTATCGATCGGCATATCCATTCCCGCCATTTTTTGGCAAGATAGGTTATATTAATTTAGGGTTATATCCTAAGGTTAGCTTAGATTTTAAGTATGTAAGTATTTTTTTTCTCTTTTTAACTGTATTTGAATTTAAGGGTCAGCATTAAGCACATTACAAACTAGATATTATAAAGCTACGTAAGAACCTACCATTTTTTCTATTTGGAGAATTTAAATTTGGAATTAAAACTTTTTTTCTTTATATTGAATTTTCTATTAATAATTATTACAGATGACTATATAAACTGAATAGGTTGCGTGCCATACTAGAATTCTGTGCCTCTAGTGAGAAAGGGTATAACTCAAGTTATAGCCTTTTTCTTTTTTAGGCTACTTTAAATAAGCAAATTTTTCTCTTTCGAACGGTATAAGAATCGTAACGATATCTTTAAAAACAATAGAGATAGTAAACATGTAAAAGGCTACAATTAACAAAATATTTGTGGTAAAAAAGTCATAATTAGAAATAAAACTACAATATTTTACAAAAAATATTTTTGTAAAATGAATCAGTTCGATTTGAACCCTTTTACACCATTAAATAGCGATTATTTTTTATAGCGTAAAATACACAATCATTTTTTTCTTCATATTCAATAAAATAGTTTTAATTCAACTTAAAACTATTTTCACATGATAATTTTAATATTTTTGTTAAGTGTGATTAGGTATAATAGAATTATTTTTAAAACTATAGGTTTTACACAAAAACCGACAATTTCATAAGAAAGAGGAGAAAAAATTACTATAAATGCAATCATTGACTTGTTCAATTAGCAAATAATAAAAGCAGCAGAATTTTTTTTCTTTATTTAAAATAGTTTTTTGGCTCTCCTGAAAAGTGACCATTTTGAATTGAACCCTTTCTCACTAGAGGCACAGAATTTGGATATAAAACATGTTTATATTTATTTTTTATATAGAATTACTATGCGGAGTTACCATTTCATTTATAATATATATCTATCTATTTATATATATTTTTATTTATTTATTTATTTATACCTATTGGTTTTTTCAATTGTAAAGACATTTTATTTATTTATTTTTAACTATAACATTTAAGTCGATTGGTACACATGTGTGACTGTAACGACTAATTAACTGTCAGTTTTCT